CAACCAGTGGATAAGTGTATATTATTATTGTTGACAACCTCATATTAAGAAAATTTTTATGCCATTTGCACAAATGTTATTTTACATGTATACCGGTTTACGTACAGCACGTATACGTTGGTACTAGTATTTAAAGAACACAATTTTGATATTTCAACTCTTCTTTTTTGGTTTGTTTTATTTAATTGCTTTTATGTGTGTATGTTTGGGATGTTATTGTTTAACGTTAGATTAAACAGAACTTAGTTATTAAAAAATGATATATTTTCTTTATAACGGGTTGGATTAAATGCTGACAAAAATAGGCAACATAAATCATGCAACTTTTAAGTATTTTTAAAATCTTTAAGTCCGTACAATTGTGTCCATTGTACCACATTTATCCCGCGAGGTGTTGTCTTAACCTCTCCATGTAAACATGTTAGTATAGTCAAGCATTAAAATGAAACGTTTAACTAAAGCCTAGTCTACATTTTAAATAGGAGTGGGCAGCAGGTGTGTAGCAACTCATGGTACAAAATAATTGCATCATTTTGAAACCTGCCTTGATTGATTGAAGAAAATAAGGTGATTTCCTATAACACGTAAAATGTTTATACTCTCTTAAGAAAAATAAAACATCCTACGTAAATAAACAATCTGCGTCTGCTCTGAGCAAAAAAAAATCTACGATAAGGCTTAGAAACACTTAAGCTTTAAATAATTAATAAATTATTTAAAAATATTTTTTTGTTTTTATTGACGAACCTTTAACCCCTTCAAGTATTCCGAAGCGAACACGAGGACTTTGCAATTCAATGATACGCTGTACACAGGGGCGTAGCAACAGGGGGGGGGGGGGCAGCCCCCCCCCCCACTTTTTTCCCAACCTTACTTACACTATAGGAAATGTTAATTGAAAGCCTGCCCCCCCCCCCACTTTTTGACTTTCAGTGATGTACCGAAAAACCGAAAATGTAGTATTAGAATTGGTACTAAAAGTAGTGGACACTGAGTTTACCTCTCCCCCCCCCCCCCCCCCCCCCCCCCCCCCCCCCCCCCCCCCCCGAAATAGGATTTTCGACTTTCGGCAAGTTTTTCCTTTTTATTTATTTTTTTTTTTTTTTTTTGGTTTGCTTGTCAACTTTTTCAGTTAAATAATTTTTTTTCTCTGGCTGCCCCTCTCCCACTTTCAAAAACGATGCTACGCCACTGGTACATACAATTGTTAAGATACGTTGGGCTACTAAAGTAACAAGATGTGTTTGTGAAACACTGATGTCCCGTATGGCAACATATTGCGAAGATTAAACTTTTCTTATATGTAGATTTAATATATTGGTAACCGTATCGAAGGGTCTTCTCACTGGAAAAATAATGTGAAAATATAAAAATTAGGCCAAGGTTAAAGTTTTTTCCATAAGTACAGAAATCTCCGAGGTCAAGGTCACTGGTATCCATTGAAAGGTGTCCCACAGAAAATACATATGTATAAAGCATGTAAAGCCCTAACCGTTCAGAAGTTATGGCAAAGGTTAAAAATTTTAAAACGTAGGTCACCAAATTAAGGTAGCATTATATTTGAAATCATTTATTATCTATTTCAATTTGTGTCTCAAGACTTTCACTTTATTCTGACGTTACTTTTTTCGTATAAATGTATTAAAAGAATTTTTCTTATACATGTACATGCATTTAAAAAAAACTCTGTACCTGATAATTAGATATGGGATAAGCCTTTTTTATATTAGATATGCATGTATTATCTTTATTTATATAAGAAAAATAAGCAACGTCAAGTCACAGGCACCTGACGTTAATTACTTATTTTTCTTTTAATAAAAAAATATATAAAACTATCCATACCTAATATTAGGTATTGGCATATATTTTTCATTTAAAGTAAAATAAGTAACGTCAGGTGCCTGTGCGTCAAGTGCCTGTACTTCATTGAATTTTACATCAGAGTTACAATCAAACTGATCATGCTGATTAAAATCAAATCTTTGTTACGATGCGAAATTCTGATAATACATGTCATAGCTGCTCAACAACTATCTGAATTTCAGAGCGTAAAAAGGTCTTATTTTAAGTCAGTCCTCGGACCGACTTGTTTGACAGTGAAAAAAAAAAACAAAACCAAAAAAAAAAAAAAAAAAAAAAATCGGTGGGTAAATCAATGTGAGAATACTGGCCTAACTATTAGTATAAAAAATGTCAGTCAGCATTCTACTCAATGAGAGATTGTGTATGTAGTTGCTGACGAGATCATAACAAATATCGACGTTAGACATGGAACTTGCGAATTGATGACTTTAAATGAGGCCGTTGATGTCCTTGTTTTATCAACTTATTTATCAATAGATTGCCTCATTTTAGAAATTAAAATATCACCTCGAAACGCTCTTGTGTCGTTTCAACTGGTAGACTTTAAAGTATTCACTGAATAAGTGAATGGGTTTTAAACAATTTTGGATAACTTTATAGGCTACAAATTTAATTTGAAAAAGGCATTGCTAGATAACGATAAAGTTTAAATAAACCAAAATTACAAGACTGATAACATGTAAAAAGCCCGTCATTTTGCACAATTTAAAGTTTTAGAAGAGTTATCTGTCCTTAATGAAAAGAAAAAAAATCTGAAAATGTATGGGTTTTTTTTTTTTATTATTATTTTACAGTTTAATAAAGAGAGAGTTTATGCACATTTTCATTAAGAGATTTGTGTGAAATTCAATTAAATTACTTTATACAATATCTTAAAAAACATGCGCTGCAATTTAAGGCGCAATTAATCATTGCATCTACAATATATAAATGTTAATTAGCGATTTGATAACCCTAATAGCTGAATCTACAGTTACTTGTATGGATCATATCAGATGTAAACAGATAAGATAATATACATGTATACATGTGAGGATGTTTATACTTGTGTATGTAACCTTTCTTTCGGAACTTTCTATCTTGTCATTGTAAAAAAAACCCTTAATGCCTTCTGCATGGGCCCAAAATTGAAAAATAAAAATATCTTATCTTATTAATATACATGTAGTACTAGGAAGTAAAATTTGTTACCGTATTCTTTTGGTGGAGCAATTTTATTTCATAGCACCTTCAAAATGCTTTACCATGATTAAAAAGATTGCCGGACCATTCATTTATTAGGTACAAAATATGGTGTAGTTATATATTTGTCGTTTACTGATTTTTATTTGAAAATAAAAATAAGTACACGACTATATTATTTTTATTCTCAAATAAAAATCAGTAAACGACACATTGAATATCTTAACTCTGTACACTTGCATAATTATATGCTATATCAGAGGCGTAGTCACAAACTTAAAAGTGGGGGGGGGGGGGGGGGGGGGGGGGGGGGGGGGGGGGGGGGGGGGGGGGGGGGGGGGGGGGGGGGGGGGGGGGGGGGGGGGGGGTGGGGGGGGGGGGGGGGGGGGTGGGGGTAATGGGCAACTTTTTCAAAGACAAGTTACTTTCAATTCCAATTTTCTCCCACAATTCTTTGATGTAACTATACTTTCCTATAGTAAAGGTAATGTTGGGGAAAAATAGCTGTGATTTTGTTCTTCATTAAAAAGTGGGGGGGCACAGACATACTCTTGCCCCCCCAGATCTAAAAGTGGGGGGGGGGGGGCTAGTGCCCCCGCTGCCCCCCCTGTGACTACGCCTATGTATATAAATAAAGGAAGATACAAGGGTGTGACATGTATAGAAGTCTAAAGGCATCTCGCTAGTTGTTTATTATAAAATTTAAGGTAGGTCCGTACTTTCAGAATTTTCTCTCAAATTGATATTTTTTTTAATTTGAATACCTTGAATAAGTCTTGAACTAACTAAAACACATTATCATATATGTTATCATATCAAATTTATGTTATAACTTATGAAAATAGAAAATATTCATTTGCCAAGAGAATTTTTGAAGTCTTTATTGCAAAACATTGACAAATTAATGTTGAATTTGTACATGTCTTTCAGGGAAAAATCTCCAAATATCCTTATTTTTCATATTTCTCAAAATTTAAAGTGTTTAGATGCTATTTTTTCTTTAAAACTATTAAGAATGATTTCTAAAGTTAACAAAAATACATCAATCATTATGGATGACTAGAGAATTTTAACAAAACAGTCTTTTGAAGAAGTATACCCTTATTTTTGAATTATGTTTTTTTTTTTCAATTATTCATTGCAAAAATGTTTAAAAAGTAAAAATTAAATGGATGATATAGACTTAAAATTAGAAACAAAAATAGATCTCATGAGTTTGCTAAAAATTAAAAAATAAAACAGCTTAATGTATGTAAAAGCAATTTGGAATTTTGTGTCTGTGTATGTACCAAATGACATATAGATCCTATGGACAGAGTGCAAAGTGGTAATTTCCATAATTAATTATGCATTTAATAATTTGTATTTAAAATAACACTATAATAAACAAAAATATACCTGCTAAATTATTTTATATCACACAAAAAGATTTTATTTCAATGTGTCTTCCTTAACTTATTGTTAGATTATGATTGAAGGCTCTTTCTAGTAAAATATCCTATATGAAAAAAAAAAAAAAAAAAAGATTTTGAATTGTGGTATTTTTTCTCAAGTTCACTGCGAAAAAAAAAACCAGGTCGACATACGAATGGTTAGTATCTGTTATTCCAAATGACTTATCTAGCTTAAATATTTCATTTATTTATTTATTAAAATCACTTCTAGGCCTAGTTAACGAATTGTTAATCATGGATCACAGTTTGTAAACTATAGTTTACAGTCGATAAACCTAGTTTATCAACTGTGAAACTATATTTAGCTCATTTTTGTGAATTTGGTGAGTCATACACTTATTTAAAAGAATCGTCTGCTTTATTACCTTTATTTAAATAAAATGCCAATTTTGTAATCAGATTGACCTGCATGAAACTTCTTGCCAACCGATTTTATAATTTCACATCGGGTTCGAAATACTCCGTTAAACTGAAACTAACAACTTCCGTCGAGTCCACATTCACAGATACTGAGATAGGTACAGAAGAATTTTAAGCGTTAGATACATTATGTATGCTTCAACAAGATTATTGGTAAGATATTTGAAAACAAATATATGTTGTAGCTGAAGATAGATGACAATTTATGCGTTTTATACTCAGAATATTGTAATCAGAGAATGATTAGTAGAGAGAGGTAAGAATATTGGGTTTCAGGGTCTCAGAAACGCAATCATGCGAAAAAGTCCGAAATATCTTTCTTAAAATCCTCTTTAATTTGAATGTTGATGTGCCAGGAAAACGTCAGAACCATGAAAATGGAAATTTAAACGCCCCTCCAAACAAACAGCTAACTTGATTTTTTTTCTTAATCATGTTAATTCAACTTCAATTTTAAATTACAAATTGTAGGTTATTCACAACTTGTAAATATTTTGATGATTTTAGTGATCATCAATATTCCTTGAAAGAATATTAATATATGTAAAATGTGACCTTTTGGGGGAGTGCAGATACTTTTCCGGATTTAATTTAGATGGGATCATTGAACTGCACATATGACATTAGGACAGGTGCATCTAGACCCTGACATTACAGGATGTATGTAATTGCTTTACCAAACCCAAGCCTAAATGCTGCTGATTTTAAAGATATTGCATTATCAAATCCAAGCCTGAATGATGCTGATTTTAAAAAAGAAACGTTTCAAAGAAACATGATATCAGGGATAGGAAACTCCTTCATCGCCATGTTTATTTACCCAAAACATCACACACAACACTACAAGTTTTTCAAACTCTGTTTATTCCCAGTAAACAGGGTATTTTCTGATTAATATCATTTATTCCTTTTATCATTGTTTATGTATAGGAATTGATTTATTGATAAATATGTAAGCATGATAATAATATAATTAAAATATAAAGAAAACAATCAACGAAATCGGCAATTTCTCGGAAATATGGCCGATCGTGGCATGTGCTAGTTGGGTTTGCATAAAACAAAATTATTACGAAGACGAGGAGTATCATACGTTCTAAAAACAAATCTTGAATGATTTTTTGACAGATAATTTATGGATTTTATCTCAAATATCCGATAGCTTTAGAGATTTGATTAATTAAAGTTGACTTACGAAATCCCGCGACTTGCGAGATATCACGAGACTGGCGGTAGTTTCCTATCCCTACTATCAGTGTTCGAAATTCAGAATTATTTTCTGTGGGTCCAAAGGACCCACTGATAAAGGGTCTTCACAAGTCCTTCCAAGGCAGCATCGGCCCAAAAATAATACCATCAACTATTTAGGGAAATAAACTTAAATTGACAATCTTGTTAAGTTTATCGATTCCTCACCAATATAAAAAAAATCAGTTTATTTAACTATTAACAACAAGATTGCCAATTACTGCAATATTTCCTAAGAATTAAGAATAAAGTTAAAATTTGTGAAAGTGCAAGGACGTGTCAATCAAACCTGTCCAAAAAGAAAATTTAATAACTTTTAAATGAATAATGATTTTTAATTAATTTTTGTGTGAAATGCTATTAAAATATATAACTTGTGATATTATACAGAAAAAATTAACTTCAAATCTGTGTCCATGCAAGTACCTTTAAGGGAAATGCTCATTCTTTCAATTTTTTTTATTTTGTAAATTGAGAATATTTGTAAAGTTGATAATAACATTATTGAGTATTAGGCTTTTTCAAGCACATCTTCCTTAAAAATTTTTTTTTTTTGCTTTATTTTGTTTACAATATTGGACAAAATTATAACTGTCATAAAAATCACAGACTTGGAAATTTATTGATGTTTGCTTTACACATTGGACATACATGTATTTATTGCTGTAAAATTATAAATCAAAAGGCATCCTAGAAAAATAGAAACTAACAAAACAAAAATCAAAGTGCTGAAAAAATTGGGAAGGGGCAATTCCGATGGGTTGGTCAGAGTACATCAAACCAATCATTTTTTTATTGGTGGCCTTATTAGTATGCTGCAAGATTGCCTTCTCTGCACTTTTCAGTATCAAATTTTAATTTCAAAGGGCAATTAAAAGTGAATAGTTTAGATTTTTCTTTTTAGATTACTCACAATAAGGCTATTCAAAGCACAGCTTCCTTTAAAAAAAAGGGGGGGGGGGTTGTTAGTATGCTGCAAGTTCACCTTCTCTGCACTTTTCAATATCTGTTAAAATTTAAACTTCAGGGGCAAATGAATAGTTGAGATTTTTCTTTTCAGATTACATAGAAAAGTGAAATAGGTGTGATGTACTTTGTTAGATAATTAGATGATCCTTATTAGATATATACCCTCTACCATGTACTTTGTTAGATAATTAGATGGTTCTTATTAGATGCATGTATATCCTCTCTACCATGAATAGAGTAAATGATTATATATGACGATTTGATAAGGAAAAAGGCCCTTCAGTACACCCAACTCAATTGAAGTACTTACACGTGTATCAAAATCAATATACATGTAATTTTTTTCAGAAAGGCATTTATAAAAGTACTTCAATCCTATATTTATCTTCAATTAGAAGTCAAAAGTATGCAAAAACTGTATCATTCATGTACCATTATAGTATGAATGCCATAGTTAAATGCTTCTTCATTGTAAGTGTGTGCATTATTATGTAATTGGCTAAAATATAGGTGTTGATTGTTTAAAATTATCTTTGAAATTCTCAAGAATATTTTTTATTGGATGATGTTAAATAGTCCATGTCATGCATATATATGATTCTTACAAAAAAATTTAAATGACTGCACTTTTATACCAGAAAAAAAAACCTGTTTTAGTCTTTCTGTTACATAATAATTATTTCTATAAATAGGATACCTCTAATGCTCATTATCATTCTGGCCACTAGATCCTCAACTGTTATTCGACATTTTTCTCACAAATTATGTTTCTTGCACTTATTCATCATGTGTACAGTACTATAGGAAAACGTATAAACCCAAAACAATCGCTCCACAAAAAACCCTACCACACATTATAATAGAGAGTCCAATAAGGAATATGGGGGCAGGGGTGGGGGGTTGGGGGGGGGGGGAGGGGGGTCCTGTATACAAGTACCTGTGGGACAAATGTGAGAGTGTACATTGCAGCACAGGAAGCATATATGTAAATATCCCTGTTTATGTTATCCAGGCTTACATGTAACTGTTCCCTTGATCCCTGGCTGTCTTGTTTCTGATTCCTTCATTTATCATTGTATTTTGTCACACAATTTTAATATAAGAATAAATTGCCATTGGATCTAAGTACGGTACACTGTATTCCATAAAAGGTTGTATCAGATGAAAAATTCTTGTGCATTTTAATAGAGAAAACATTAAAACCTTTTACTGGCAGGCCTCAAATGAAATTGAATCTGCATTTTTGCTTGACTTTCAGGAATCCAAAATGCAGTCCAGTAAAGTTACTTCCTCCCATATTCACTGGCCCGACATTGGATTTACAACGAATGCTAATCAGACAGAAGCCACGTTCTATAATGCTTTACATTCTGAATATAAAAGGCTTAATCCTAAAAGGCGAAGGAAGGCAAGGGAGAGAGCTCGCTTAGAGAAACTGAAGCACTACACAGGTTATTCCTCTAGTTTCGTCAGTGCAGGACGGACTTCCGATGGTGTATATAGGTTCTATGAGCATCAGACTGAGATGCCTGTGGATGAAGTAGAAAGCAACAGCTCAGTTATCACTAGTAACCAAGAAGTGGAAAATAATCCTAATCCGGGTGGAAATCAACTGGCAGTCTCAGACTGGCCAACAGTATCAGATGAGGTTCAAGAAAATGCAGGGGTTAGCGGCACTGTCGAAGAAAAAAAGGACCCCATACCTGAGGATGACAGACACATGGCAGCTGTGATTGTGCGTCTACTTGTGGACAATAACTATAGGCTGGATGTAGAGGACTTGCAGGAAAGAGTCAACATGGAACCAGTTCCCCATGGTTTCAATGACCCTGAAGCCTTGATTGAGTTCCTTCAACGTTTTGACGATGTATTTTATTTAAGCAAATCGGAGACCTCGGTGGTGTCGGTAGAAGTCGGGCTGCTGGTGAATCTAGAAATCTGTTTTCCTCACACAGGGGGAAACTGTAAAGGAGACTGCAATGAACTCCACCTCTGCAAGTTTTATGTTTTAAATACCTGCGAAATTTGGAATTGTAAATTCGGCCACGATTACGACACCCCTCACAATCAGAAAGTACTGGAGTCCCACTTCATGCAGTATTTGTATCCAGAACAGGTGAACTCCTTGCTTAGAGCCTTGATCAACAGGAAAGGAGTGACTGTACCATTAATATGCCGATATTACAATAGTAGTCTAGGATGTCGTAGCACCGAGACCTGCCCTTACCTGCACGTTTGCGTCTACATTGCCGAGACATGCAAATTCTATCCGTTTTGTAAATATTCCCACAACTTGTTAGATCCGCAGCCTAGACGCTTGTTATGGAAATACGGCATCAATATGAATTACGTCAAGAAAGAAGATGTCTTTAAAGTCCTTCTGAAATCACCTGTTACAGAAATTTCTCCTCCATTTGCAGAGAACAAGAAAACGAATAAAGAAGTTACGAAAGCCGTTGTCAAAAAGGCCATTGAAGAAACTGCAGCATCAGTGGAATCAGTGGATAAGTCTTTGGAAAATGCTTTGCCATACCAGTGGAAAGCCACAGGGGGTGAGGGTGAAAATGCCTCTGGAAACTGGAACGAGTTTACAACAGAGGAGAGTAGAATCATTCATTTAAAGTTGATGAAGTATAAGAAAGCCTATGAGAGATATTTGAAATTCAAAAACTATTCCACCACTTTTGGAGAGAAAAAGTAAGTCTTTTGCTGAATATAAAGATATATATTAATCAATGTAATGAAGCAATCAAATAATTTGAATTAAGGTGTGTTGTACATGTTTTATTTTAATTGGAGAAGCAAAATTAGTGAAATATGCATTTTGGTAATTTCACAGTCAGTCTATTGGTTTCTCTCCTCTTACTTCAAGTGAGTTACCAAGGGTTTCCAACAATGTGAAATATTAATGATACATTGTTTTAGTGATGAATTATCTAAAGTCTAATTTAAATACATTTAAAATGTATGTGTTGGTGCACAATTTATTCCCCTGTTTTAAACATAATTGAAAAAAATATTTCATATTTCTTGATTTTTTATTCTCAACCTTGCAGGTTGTCGATAGATTTCTCAAAGATGGAAGGTGTTCTAGAGAGTGGTACCACTAGCCAGACTGTTATGCTGAAAAAGATGTCTAAAGAAGAGAAGGAACTAAACACTCAGAGTTGTAGCACTTGACAAATGATCTCAGATTTTTTTTTCAGATTTTAATTTCAATATATGTATTTTATGTAGTGCTCATGCAGAGATGAGAAAATAAAGAAATTATTGAATAATAATAAAACAAGAAACATATACTGTGTCTTGATAGATTAACCTACATTTTTAAGTTCATAAACAATTAATATTTTTATTACAATTTCAACAGTGAAATACTGTAAATTATTTATTGGATAAAACTGATATTTGTCACTTTGTTAAAAAAAATAAATTCAAAGAAATTTCAAAGTTATATTGAATTGTGTAAATATCAGAAAGTGCAGCTACACTTGAGTTTTCCTTCCATTAAGGAAGAACAAAGTAAAAGAAAAGCTTCTATTGTTGTTAGACACCAAGAATATTGTCATGTGATCCTGATAGAGACTAAAACTGCCAAAATTGCTCAAATTAATATTCCCCCCCCCCTTGGAAGAAGGGAGGGCAAATTGCTTTTCTGCTGTCTGTTGGTCGGTCAGTTTGTTGGCCCACAAAGTTTCCATTTATTTTCTTCGCAGCAGTTGCGCATACAGAAATGAAATTTGGTATACAGTTTGATCATATGAATATCTAAGTCAAGATCTGTTTTGGGTACAATCGAGCCATTTTTGACAGAGTTATGCTGCTTGGACTTAAAAAAAATTCCAATAATTTGCTGTTACCTTTCATCAAATGTTCATTTTATTTGCACCTGTTGCACATACTGAAATTTAGCGATTGCACATACTGAAGAAAATTTGGTATACAGATTTATCATAGAAATATTTAGGCCAAGTTTTTTTTTTTCGGGTACATTCAAACCAGTTTTGACAGAATTTTGCCCCTTGGACTTAAAAAAATTGAAATTATTTTTTGGGAGGGGGGAGGCATAAAATTAAATGATTGATAAACATATCGTTAGTATTGTATTTTTTTCTGCATGTACAATTTTTGTTATTGTAATTCACTTAATTGTCTAAGATATTTTTTTTTATTATCTCGTAGTCTTATAATTATACATTATTCAATGAGTTAAAAGATGAAAGTAAAGAACTGACAAGTTCGTGTGGTCTGCAGTGTCTACAAAACATGATACAGTGTACATGTATGTTTCAGTTTTTTAAAAATTTTTCTTCTGTCTCTTGATATGTATATACAGTGTGCCAATTGCTGCGGATTTCAGTTTTAAAGCAAATTTTAAAAAACAGGCAAATGACACTGTTTTACGAAATTTTTTTTTACTGAATCTGTAAATGTGTCCAAAAAAAAACACGAATTCCTAGTTTGTCATACCTATAAATCCTATAGGCTTATTTATTTCGATTTTTGATATCACTTTCCGATTTGATTGCTTTTCAACCTTGATATATTTCGTCGTTACATTTTCCGGAATTAAGATTTCCTTTTGTGTTTATTCTTTTATTACTAGTAGTCAAACTATTTCCAGTTGAAGTTCAAAGACAGCAAGCATGGACTCACAGGACTGTCGTCAGTACCAAGTATTGAATCACATTTTAGGGGCGCATTACATAGTGAAAGGTTTGTTTTTGTGTTTATAAAAAGAGTAATCTCATTGAGATTTCGTCGAGGCTAAAAAAATTTGGACTGAGCAGTGCGCAGCCAGGGTCTATTCTGTATTTATGACTAGTCATTTGTGTACTCTAAATTTGTCCACCCTATGCTACAAATTTTATAGTATAGGGGTGTTTAATTTTTAAATAGACACATAACTTCATAAGTCATGACAAGCCCCTTTGAACCGAGGTCTGCTCCAATTCACAGACCATTGTGATTTGTCACATAAAGTGATTCAGGAAATCTTCTCCAGATATGGACCACTAGATAGAATGTTCTATCGTTAAAATGATATTGTCCTACAGACCCGGTTTAACGATAGAATTCCTTCCGTGTATTCGTAATGCGAGTCATCGCCCGTGTTTCTTTCTGCTACATAGTGCATTTCCTAGGAACAATCTAGAGTTCCGAATGTAAACATGGCAGGTAATTTGAATCGAGAGAAAAACATTGAGAAAATTAATTGGATTTTCGTATTTACGAGGGGTTATCAAAAAGTTCGTGGACTGAGGCTATAAAATTAGTACTATGTAGTCTGAGCTTACAAAATTTTGAAGGAACATAAAACAACAAAAAATAAAGAAAAGTTGAAAATTTTAGCTAAATACATTCATTTTTTCCCCAAATTATTATAAAATAAAAACGACATTATAGCGTCACCCGGGGCTGTCGCCGTTTAGTTTTATGACGTCGGACAACGTCATTGTTTTTCAATGCCTGATTTTTCTACCTCATACACTTATTTTGATGAGATTTCCTGGAGCTGAGAAAGAGCTTCAGTCCGTCTTGTTTATATGACTTAAAATGTCATGGATAGCGGCTTTCAATGCATATACTTTTACAAATAAAATTTAAACAATGGCATCCTTTGATTGTGCAAGCATCTTTTGCTTTTGAAGTTCAATATATAAAACGCATGATCAACGTTATTTTTTGATGATTGATTTTTCACACCTTGACTACAAATCGACATTAACTGTACATTCTTTTTTTTTCCCTGAATCTATTTTGGCATTAAAATCAAGTAATCTGGATGCACATTAATTCTCCGTAGCCGGTTTAAACATTTCCTAGGTGTATACCAGTTATTCTAGGGGAAAAACGTTATAGAATGAAATTTTTTCAAGGCAATGTTTGTTTGGATAATCAATGTAAAATTTACGATAAAATTTCATAGAACTTGCAGAATGAGGAAAAACTTTAACATTTTATGGAACAATAGTGTCCCAACACATACCTGAATTAACGGAATATTTGGATGTCAAATGTTAATATCATAATAAAACACGTAGGTCAAAAAAAATGTCGTTTTCGAGGTTGCGCCGCATGGACATACCATTGCTTACAAAAACATTACTAATTTATTAAAAAATAGAATTCATGATTTGTGATTTATTCTATAGACTGAAAAGATATTGATAACTAGATATTTCAAAATTCATTTATGTACCTAAAGCGGTTTTTATTTTATGGCGCTAGTCCACGAACTTTTTGATAGCCCCTCGTATATGGATTATTTTGGGGGATAAAAGGCATAAGCAATCTCAAGAATTTTTGTTTTGATTATTTTTGTAGTTATTCCCAGTGCAAATCATTTTATATTCTTCAAAATCGTTTCGGAGCAGATCCGCTCCGATTTGCTACATTGCAAGTATATGGGACGTATTCTAACTGTGGTGAGGGCCTGTACCGAGACACAGTTAGATTACTGTAGATCACTAAATTTTCGCGACACCTTATTTTCGCGAGATAGTCATTTCTTGATTTTTTCACGAATTGTGGTGGTTCTTGCTCTATATAATCTTAAGAAATGCTATTTTAAGCGAGAATTAAATTTTCGCGAGCACACTGTCTCGAGTAATTAAGCGAAAATAAAGTTCTCACGAATAAAAAGTGATTTACAGTATTCTAACTAATGGACCACTTGTTAGGAAATGAATATTCCTGACCCGATTCAATTTCTCTGTTTGGACATCCTTTTAAACTCCATTTCACTTTGAAACTTTCTTCTCTTTACCTTTAAAAGCAAAATAAACTTTGAATTACAAAAAGGTTTTAATTTTAGGGTTATAGGTATCTATAGAGCATGAAGAGAGTGTTTGTTGGGGGTCTGTTCCCTGAGGTAACAGAAAAGGAAATCCGGGACAGATTTGGTCGCTTTGGAGATGTGTCGGGGGTGGAGATAAAACGAAAAAAGAATGGAGGTAAGCTATGTACAATATGGAAACTATTTCTGGAGAATTAGCAGTGATTGGGAAGGGCTTGCGCCATGCGTCGTAGTCGCATTGAAGTGAAAAATGGCGCACTAAATCAATCATGGCACCAAATCTCATTGGTTGAAATCTTCAAAATGTGCAGTTGTCACGGTGTAGTACCTAAACGGTTGCTATCAGAAAAAATTGCGCGTTCTTTACTGCTATCCGAGAGTTCCGGTTGCTAGTGGAAAAAAATGGACGAAATTGTAAGTATTTTTCCTCGCTGGCTCAACAAAACGGTCAATCATTCAATTATCTAAGTTTCGCTGCTTGGTATTTCACCCCTACGGAACGCATTACCTTCTAAAACTAACATGTCTATTTAGAATTTTAATGAATTAAAGGATTGCTGATATATAAGACGAAAACTGTTGAAAGCGTTGGACACATTTACATGCATGGAAGAAATATATTGAAACTGCGTCAGAATTTTTAGGTTTTTGATAAAATTGAACCGACAGTTCGTTGTGTATTTGTTAATATTATTGGTTATTTTATAAAATTGTCCGCTTTGATGGGTTTCTTAAAATCTAGAGCGTTTTATTAGGAGAAACTTATGTAACGGCTACTATTAGACAACAGCACCGGTTACTATTGGAAAAGGTTTAAGTTTTCAAATTTTATTTCATCGCATCCCCAATTTACATCTGTGAAGGAAACCACATGTATATTCTAAATGTTCCTTCTATATATTCTTTCTAAATTATTTACTTGTTGTTTATGTTTATATGTATAATATGAATATTTGAGTTTCTATGTACATGTATAATATACATGTATGCTTCGGAAAGAGGGGGGGCTTAGCCGTCCTACTTTTTTGCAAAGATACATGTAAACATAATTTAGTCATTGAAAATTGGGACGAATCTATGTCTTTATTTGTTAACCCCCACCCCCACCCTTTTCAATTCGATCCGACGCCTATAGTAAAAGAATTACAAAACTGTCAGCAATTAATTCATGTGACTATTGAACCTATTACTAGTATATTCTTTTTTCTGAAAGGTTTACTAAGTCTACCTATCCAAACATAAACCTACAGATTATTAATCTCTATCTGAAAAAAAAACATCTAAATTGAAAAATGAATAAATCCCACATGAAGTTTTTACCAGTGTCCAACGTTCATGATTCCTGCAGTAAAGTGCACAATGTACATAAGAGCAAAACGTAGACAATAATGTAAGTACATACCGGTATGAGCTTACATTATCTTCCACATTTTATATAGGTAGGATGTTCATATGATGTTCATGTCCATTGAAGGAAAAAAGGGGGGTATGCTCCTATTTCCTCTTTTTTGTTAAGAAAATTTTCTGTAAGTAAAAAAAATGATGAGTATGTCAAACACTCCGAAAGTCCAAAAATTATGAATTTATTGAAAAAAGAAGTGGAGGCCGTCTATCTTAAAACCCTTCTTTCTTTCTGGGTGGGGGGGGGGGGTGGGGTGAGGACAGGGGCTTGTCTTGTTTTACCTATATAAATTAAATAATTCGTGAAAATTTTAATGGGGCGAGGGGGGTCAATGTTTTGATTATTGCCTGCATTCGTTCGAGTAACAAATTTTGTTTTAAAAAGGTGTTGACATTTTCCAAGCATAACCCCCCCCCCCTCCCCTACACGCCCTTTTTATTGCGTCATTGGCGTCGGAAGCAAATTAAAAGAGGGGAGTTAACGATAAGAATTTTTTTTAGATCTCCAAAATAAACCCCGTAGGAGTGGGGTGGGGTGAACTTCATTACGTAAATTGTTTTTCCAAACAGCACCACTTTCCCAATGTTAAACCTATACTGCAACGTATCTGTGGAAAGTAAGGGGGGGGCTAAACCTACGCAGCAATTTTCAATGTCTATACTAAGTCTATCTTTCGAAAAAGGTGGGGGGGGGAGGGGGGCTAAGCCGTTGGCAGTATAATCAAACAAGAAAAGGTGCTAGCGCCTGAAAAAATGTAACTGAAAGAAGTTCGACAATTTTCCATTTTTTTATCTACATGTACCCCCCCCCCTTCCCGCCTTTCAAAATCGAACTTACGTCTCAGAATTAAGTTGGTTAAAGTCCACTGCATACATAATAGACATCGTATTTTAAATGCTGTTTGGGATATTTAACTATTTTAGGCATTTGCTGCCATAGCTTTATTTAATTGATAGAAATAAGAGTAATTTTCAAATAGCAACCGATGAGATGTTTTCAGTTTATAGCCGGTGCAGGATATGCTAAGACTCTGATAGCAACCGTTACTTTAAAAAATCGTGTTTCATCCAAAAATCTCTTTCACAATGCACTTTTGAATAGTTTTAATCATATGTAAGTATTATTATATATTGACGCATCTTCACATACCACAATAAACACAATCTAAATAATAGATAAGTTAAAAAAGGCATGAAAACTGGGTGTGTATTGACTCGAGATTCGATACAGGCTTCGGAGATTCTACTAATTCAAAATTATTAGAGGACTATTCTACAAAATACAAATGACAACATTTATAGAAATGCCTTACTTGTTCCGTGCACTTAGTTTTTTCGATGACTACATTGATTTGGGGTCTCGATTTCACAGTTTTACAACTTCTTCCAAGCGATTCAAACATATTTATTTCTGATAGCAGCCGTAGAAATTTCGAATAGCAACACTGAACGCTATTTTGTTCGGATAGCAACCGTTTAGGTACTACACCGTGGTTGTACTTCCAGTTAAACAAAGCGATACTTCATTCATTTGTATGGTAGGGCTGTTCCCTTTCCAAAACTGTCGTAATTTTGACACAAAATACAGGTCAGTTATATTCTAAACAAGTTCCTTTGAATTTGCTGCTTTTCATCAGTTATAAATCAGATTCAGTCAATTAAATAAAAACGTGTTTTCTCTCATATTTCGTATTTGTTTGTCACTTTTTATATTTTTTGAATTAGATTATCAGATTATATTGATGTCCCATTCATTTTCGAAATGGCCCATCAAAAATGTTGACAGTTGCGCCATAGTCCCATTGACCATTTTGGCCTTCCCAGTCACTGCATTAGAAAAAAAATGCATGAAAATATCCAATAACTCAACTATTTTCTTTTTTTGATATGTATTGTGAAAAAAAAAACTGTTACAAAGTATTTAAAAATACATTTAATGGATAAACCAAATGAAAGGTTTGAGATGCAAAATTGTGTAATTTTATTTTATTTTTTTTTTTTTTGTACATTGGGAAAAAAAGAAGATTTACAGAATTAAAATAAGATGACCATAACTTTTTCTTTCCTCAAGAGAGAGATTAACTCTTTAACTCTTAATGACACACATATCATATTATAAATTTGTCTGATAATTAATGCATTGACCAGTTTTAAAATCATGTGAATAACCTACATTTAAATGTGTAAATCATTATAGATTTTTACTGATTGTAATTTCTACCTCACTTAAATATATGATTAATATCAACCATATTTAATTTTTTACAATATGTATAATGATGGATACATATGCAGTGTGTACATGAAATTTATTTGCCATTTTTATTTTTGTAGAAGATTCTTCAGAAAAGATTTTTGCATATGTGAATTTGAACATCAGTGAGGAAAACTTGTCCAAATGTAAGTAATTTACATATAGAAATATAAAGCACAAAGGAAATCCTAGTAAAATCCAAATGACATCTAAATGATTTGATAATATACTTGAAGGAATATGCTGTAACTTTTGTTGAATACAAGTAACTCAAGATCTTACATGTAAATTTTAACATTCTAGTTTTAAGTTTCGTTGGTGTTCTGCGTGATACACAATTTTAAGAAATGTACATGTAAGAATAAATGAAATCAGGAAATGATTGTTAAAGTAAGGGGAAAAACACAGCATCCTTTAGTTAATATTTTGTAACAGGAAAGGAGAAAATGTATGGCTGGACCGGGAATTAAACCCGGGACCCCTGCATCTCCAGTCAGGTGCTATATCCATGGCCCAAACTATTACAATTTTAATACAACCTCGGACTGTTCATTAATGAAAAAACCAGCTTAGTAACCAAAAATGGATTGCAATTGTAATTGTAATTAATATTAGTAATAAAATCTATAGGTTTAAGATAATATTCTAGTAAAATATCTGCCTTGCCCCAGGACTCCAGAAAATTTTTGGGGGTACCACCAATGATTTTTTTCGTTGAAAATTGAACTAGGAATAGAATTTATGAAATTCTATAAATTAATTTGAATAAAAATTCACTAAACTGATATATTGTAAATGATTTTGTTATCTACAATATTTTAAAACAATTTATATTATCAATGACAATATAAGAAGTATATTCATATTGTATGCTAATTATCATGGAAAATTGATTTTAGGTTTCAGTGTTTACAACAAAACAAAGTGGAGGGGTTCACAGCTGAAGCTACAGTTAGCTAAGGAGGATTTTTTGAAAAGGTATTTATAATAAAACAGATTAAATTGGGTCTATGCTCAAAGAATATTCATGCTAAAAGTCATTTTTAAAAAAGAATGTAAGAATCAATGTTTGTTGACATATTTTGACAAATTAAAGACATACATTTTTGAACATCCTATTGACCTTGACCTGTCTATGACCTTTATATATGGACTGCACATAACTTTAACCTGTATCAAATTCATGCAGACTTAGCAAGGAACGTGAAAATGGTTTTGCCGTGGAACCTAAAGTGAAACGCAAAAAGGGCATGCACAATGATCCATTAAAAAATCAGGAAGGGATCGAGGATTTTCATATGCGGGGAGCAGTGCCAGGCACCAGCATTGAGGGAGAGGAGGTAAATAACCATGAATTTCAAAGTTAGGCATCTGAAAGAAATATTCTCCTTGCTTGGACAATGCACAATGCAGCTTAAAATATGTTTTTCCTTTTCTCTTTTCAGAATTTTGCTTATCAAATAATGTTTAAAACTTTTATAAATTGCAGGTGGTATGTTAACTAGCTAATTGCTTGATTTTTTTCCTTACAGAATTGGGTGGTTGGAAAGTATGGTAGAGTATTACCAATAGTCCATATTCCCAGCAAGCATGGCAAAAAAGTATCCTTTCTTGATTATTTCTTATATGAGTATGAAACGAAATCTCATGACTTTTTTCAAATCAATATTTCAATGACAAAATGTTAGATTAAAAACATGTTTTAAACATAGAGGAGGAGAATGCTATTAAAGGGGAATAACTCTTAATCATAACCATATTGCATATGATGTTTCCCAACTAAATGTCTTCTAAAAGTTAACCCTTTCATTCAAAATTACTGCATGAATGAATTGACATGGAGTACATGTTCAAAAACACTGAAAAATAAGCTAATTCAAGGAATATTTATGTACCTAACTGAAGGACAAAAGTTTATTTGAAATAATATATTAGCCAGAGACATTTTGTAACACATAAAAGACAATCTTGTAACTTTGAACTTTGAGCTTTTCACCCAAGTATCATAGAAAGTATGCTGTATTGATGGGCATATACACTCCTAAACCAATTTATATCTCCCACTTTTGTAGAAAGCAAGGGAACCATAATAGGTGTTTTTAGATTATGCATGTGTATTCAAGAGGACTAATCCTTAATGAAAAAAATCAGATAGTGACTGTAGATCCTTCCAAGTTCTGTCACAATGTCAAAAAGGTCAAAGAAGAGGAACAAGGTCCTGATAACTGTGATACTGAGACACTAACCTGGGCACTGAAGGAAGAAAATCCAGAGAAGACAAAGAAACGAATCGGAGATGTCCACTCAACATCAAAGTTTGTGAGGAGGAAATGTCATCAGACCCGTGTTTCTGCTGGGGAACCAACACAAAGGCTGAATGGTGTTACTGAAGAAGAAGATGATTTGGAGGTAGTTTCTCTGAAGGAAAGCACAGGAAGTGCCAAACTTGGAGCCTGTGCAGAAGAGGATTCTGATTCAGATTATGAAGCAATGAAAACTCCTCTCACTAAAGATAAGAACAGAATTTCTGCTAGTGTAACTGGACATTCATTGAAAGAGAAAAACACTGAGAAGGATTCAAAACATTTTAATTCAAGGCTCAAAGAAACTGCTAGCAAGAAAGATAACTCTTTAAAAAATGTTCATGATTCGGATGAAAAATCAGCTGGTGTTTCAAGTGGTGTTGTGAATTTCATGGAAGATGAATCAGACAAGGAATCTGTTTCATCTGCTGACACTGATGTCATTGTTGCTAAGCAACTCAAAAAGAATTCTGGGAAAATTCCTGTTCAATCCAAAAGGTTCTCTGTGACACAAGGAATCAATGAATTTTCAGACGGATTAACTATGGAAGAATCTAGGAGCGAGTCGAGCAATTTTAATTATGAGAGTGATGATAGTTTAAGTGCAGTAGGTTATGAAAGGTTAGCAAAAAGAATAGAAAGGGAATATCAGAGAAAGTTCAATAGCGACCCAGAAAATCATGAAGGAAATCTTGATTTCGAAGTAGCTGGGACTTCTTTAAAGAAAAGTACACCCAACACACAGAAAACATTACCGGTGATAGGAGACCCCAAAACTAAGAGAACGATGAAATCTGAGCTTGTGTCTGAGCAAACCAACAATGATTCAGTGCTAAATAATTCTGTGTTAGATTCTGATGAAAACTCCCCACAGGTCAGTTCTGAGGAAAATTTGTTCTCAAGTGCATCAGAGAGCAGCAGGGAAGATGATAGGCAAGTAGAAGATACAGCAGCAAGTGATGAAATAGTAAAGAAATCTAAAAGTTCGTCAGGAAAAAGTGGTGCAAAGTGTGTGTTTCTACCCTTTAAAGGGACTTCATCTTTGTATAGTTCCGATGTAGGTAAGAACCAAGGGAATATGTGCAATAGTTCTGATCAAGATATGGGAGAGTTTCCAACAGAGAAAGAAAGAAATGTGAAAAAGGTCACATCATCTTCTAAAGGAACTATAATGGTAGATTCTTCTATCAAAAACACTAAAAATTCCATGGAAGGGAATGAAACTAAGACCCAAGGTGGAAAATTAGGGAAAAGCAAGAAGGATATTGTTAGTTCTGTTCAGAGTGGATTATTGGAAGAAGGAGTGAGGAAGAGTGAATCAAAATTAACTGCTGATGTGGAAAGGAGCAATGCCTCAGATAGAAAGAGAGTGGAGTCCATGAAAGAGAAGATGAAGAAAACAGAAGTGACTGCTGATGTGGATATAAAGGAGAGAAGTAAGGCAGCAGATAGGAAGAGAGTGGAGTCCATGATGGAGAGGGCAAAGGAGACAGAGTTGAAGAAGAGAGCTATACAACAAGCCCTCAAACTGGTCAGTCAATGTCAAAGTGGTCAGTCAATGTCAAACTGGTCAGTCAGTGTCAGAGTGGTTAGAGTGGGAATGTTAACAAAGTCAAGTAGAGCAGTATAAGTAACTGCAAAGGAAAAACAATCTGATATGCTGAATTCAAAGAAAATTAAATATTAGATTTATTCTTCAAGCATTAAATAAACATTTGAACATTCTACATAATTTTTTAATGAAATGTTTTCAAATTCACTGTAAAAAAAATCAAAGTCAATTTCTTGAATTTATTTTTTGAAGAGGAATATTCTAACCTAGATATATTCTAATAGGGTCCCAGTTGTGATATTTTATGTTCATAATATGCATGTACACTTAAAGAAACAACATCATCTCTGATCTTGAGGTATGAAAGAGATAGAAATCTAAGTTATTCATGATTAGCAATCTGTTTTAGAACTCAAAGGAAGAGAGACCCAACAAGAAGATAGTGTTTGAGTCAGATAGCAGTGATGCTGAAGACAAACTGATGGAAGAAGGGGAAGATAAAGTTCAGACAGCGAATAAAACCAATGTAAGCACCATAAATATACATGTATTATTGCTCAAACCAAAAAGAGCAAGTGTCGTAATGACTTTTTCACTGATCCTGAAAAAAAGTAAGTTTAAACTTCAATATCTCAATCATATGTTATGTAAAATACCATATATATATTTTGAAGTCAATTGGAAATAGTTGTCCCAGCTACTTTTCTTTAATTTGTGTATTGTAACCTCAGTATCTTGATTGTCTGGATATCTTGGAAGTTAGGAAGTTTTATTCTCTTGGGCTTATTGAATTTGAAATGATGTTCGGATATACATTATGTGAATATAAGTTCAAAATGTGTCATTTTCAATGTGATTTGTAGACTGAAAGAGAGAAGAAGCCGGCCCTGTTTGACAGCTCTTCAGATGAGGCATCAGATGAGGACGCAGACGAGGAGAGGTTCAGAATACGACCTGAATTCGAGGGAAAAGCAGGGAAAAAGGTTTACCTCTAAAAATATATTGTTTTTATTTATACTGTAATAATTTTTTTTTTTTGAAAAAATATTCCCAGTAAATGTAAATTTACAAGCCAGAGCACTGAGAGACAAAGAATTATCTTCTATCCAATGTCTATCAATGAAAAATTTCATTGGGATAATGACATATTGTAAGCTTAAGCCAGAATATACCTATATTGCAATAAAATGGTTTATTTTACTTAATATCCTGTCTCAAAATATTATTCAACATTTATGACCAAACTCCAGTTTTTGTTGGGAAATTTCAGTTAATGAAGCTTCAATCTAGATACAAGAATGATGAGAGATTCAAATTAGATGAGAAATTTATGGATGAATCTGGATCAGAGAAAGATGGCAGCTCTGATGAGGAAGAGGAGGGTAATTTTAAAATATTAATTCAAAATCTTTACATATGAAACTTTTTTCATGTAAGACACATAATAAAACAATGGTATACATGCAATTGTGGACAAAACATTCCAAGTTTAATTGATTTAAGATAATCAGATACCAATTATTGAGTATGGTTGAATTTTGCTTCCTTAAAATTACAATGCTTTAAAGAACAAATCATCAGAGAATTGGTACCCCTTAAAATGAGTTCTTTATAACCCAGTTTCCTTGATAGAAGAGTCCTTCAGTATCAAAGAAATTTAGTTGCAATATGTTGTATATTTTATTATTAATTTTGTTTAATGTTTCTGTATTTCAAAAGTGTGTTTTATCTGTAGGATTCAAGCCTCCAACAGAGAATGATGATGAAAAGTCTAGAGCATTAAAAATCTTGGAAGAAGTGGTAGGATCCAAGGCATTAAAGAAAGTACAGAAGAAGAAGACTTTGTTTAAGTAAGATTTCATAGAAAATATAAATAAAGATAGTACATAAGAAGAAGAATTTGCTCAAGTAAGATTTTATTGAAACAAAAAATAGTGATGGACATTGAAGTGGTGAAATTTACATGTTAAGCTGTCTTTTTGAATTTTAGTTTTTACATAATGTCACACTAAGGGTGAAACGTTTACTGAATTTTGTAAATGTTTAAACGGATAGCATTAAACGAAACGATACCGTTTAAACGGGAGATATTCTCTGTTGGATTTTTATGGCTACTTACTCATGAACTTCGAATTTAATAATCAATTCTTGCACTTTAATATAAGTATGAGTTGTTATTTCAATTTCATCGTTGGTCATTATGACGTAAGAATTTGAGGCGCATTAAACTCGTACACTTTCTACATTGTCACCCAACTGCATTGGTTTGTTTGGCTACATACCAGATGTATTGTAAAGGTGGATCTTTTAATCTCGAAAAAAGTCAAACAAGACCTGCTGACTGTATCGAAACACTTTTCAAAGACTTGTGAACAATGTATTATATTTATTTAATCAAAATATATCGTTTTACATTCAAAGTGTCATAAAACATCGCTAGTATTCGCAACTCAGAAATTGGAATTAAATATGTTATACCGTATCGGGTTTTAAATATTTTTATTCAATATGTTTCCGGTATAGATTGTTGCTTTTCAAATGGTCAAAGACTGTGTTTGTTTTGTAAATTATGAAATAAAACAATTTGTTTGTGTATAACTTTATTTCTGATAGACATTGATAATGACCTTCGTGTAAACGTTTACTCAGTCTGTAAACGTTTAGAGCATATAATCGAAACATCGCTGTTTACACGTGTAATCGTTTCGCCCTTATGTCACACCATTTTATTTAGAAAGGAGAAAGTATATTATTTTCAGTTCTTTAAACTTAAACAAACATATTTCATGAAATAAATAACATGTATATATATGAAAGTAAAAAAGGGCTCTCTCAAGTGAATTTTAATCTCTTTTAAACTCTTTTATAGCCAGAAAGCAAAATATTTAAAAAAAAAAGAAGAAATAATTATGTGTCTTATTCAAAAAAAAAAAAATCCACCTTTTCAATATGCATGTATTTTACTTTGTTCATAGAATTATTATTTTAAATTAAATTTGAGTTTTGAAACTATGAACTTGAATAATGAAAAAAGAAGAAAGAACTACAGTATATCTCTAATTTAGCCTAATACAATGTGAAAGGCCAATTTATATCAACACTGAACATTGTATGTCATTTTGATTGAAGAGATGTGTCTGCCATTCATTTTGACCCTACCAAGGAAGACCACAAACAGTTTGAAATGGAACCACAGCAGAAGAAAAAGAAAGTAAAAACAGTGCAGAGGTAGATTTGTCCTTTATATTGCTGACATACTCAATTTTTTTTTCTTTTCTTTTTTTACCTGCCATTGATCAAAAACTGATGCATTTGGAATCATTATTTTTTTTTACGCAAATAAATGTTAAATGTAAACTTCACAGTTCATATTTAATTGTACATTTCTAAATAGAATTTATCAGTGTAAAGTTCCTTTCTCAGAAAAAAATACCACAAATTATTTCAATCCACAAATTATTTCAATCTGTGATGCATACTGCAATGAAACCTTTTAACAATGAATCTTTCCAGGAAAATGAGTGCCTCCTCAGATGAGGACACAGAAGCTGTAGGTCCAGACAGACATGAGGCACCTGTTGAGGAGGAGGTACCGGAGGTGACCAAGGAGAGGTTCTATCAGGTGTCCTTCGATTCCTTCAGGGAGACATTCTCAAACAAAACTTCCGGTGTGGCAGACTCGCAGTTCTCTCTCCTCTCTGTGTTCGGGAGACAGCAACAGCAGACGACAGACAGTGATGAAGAAATGCCAGGTACCCCAGTCACTGATATATAGTGAAGTGAAAAATCATTAATAAATTTCATGGGGTTAATTTACAATGTTTTCATGATATGAAAAAATCCATAAATTTATGTCCTGATGTGTCAGTTTATCATTTCTTCACCCAAGAAATCAAATTCCCACAAAATAATATCTTGACCCCAGGATAAAAATATAAATGTACATTCATGTAATTTTATAGTAATTTATGAACAAAAAGGACTGTTAGATCACAAAGGGCTTGTTTATAAATCTTGCAAGAAAAAGAGAACTTATTTGTGAAAGGCATTTCTTTAAAAAAAAAAGATCCATAATTTTTCCCACAGACAACTCTTGTGGAGCGTATTATGTAGGCCAAGTACCTAAATCTTCATGTAATGTTAAGCTTGTCTCACACTCAAATTTTTACAATAGGATAGGAGAGCCCCCAAGTCTTGTCAATATTAATTTTATTCACTTAAATCTATAGGTTAGATTTCATACAAGAGCTATCTTTACATATACACCAGCTTATTAATGATATTGCAGCTGAAAATAGATATTTAGTAGGTACTACAGCTGTATTGTATATATGTAATATACTACATGTACAACCATTTTTCTCTAAAAAAAATCCTTCTTTGGTAATAATATGCAGTTGTTGGCTTCATTAACATAAATTATTTTTGAGCATTATTAATTTTTACTATCTGTATTCTCCCAGAAGTAGAACAGATAGGATCCAGTTCAAACCAGAAGGCAGACCAGTTCCTATGGAAACAGCATGTTGACAGTAGCGACGAAAATATGACGTCAGATGAGGAAACAGAGTGTGTATTTATATGTGAAGAATAAAATTTTTCCATAAAACAAATGATTTTTTCATTAAAAAAATGTACAATTTACAAAAATGTAGTATGTGACTTTGCTAGGTTTATATAACACAATATAAAGGAAGATGTACTTCGATAATATTGAATTTTTGAACAAGAAAGTTAATCATTTTCGTCTTTTGGGAAAGACAAGAGTGTTGATTATTCCGTATTATGTCAGCATAATTCTGATGGTAAAATTACTGGTTTGTGCCCTTGTATTTGACAAGTCTTGAATTGATCTGCATGCATTTAATTCAAAAGTTTATAAACGAAAACATACCGGGTACATATTTTCTTAGTCCACTTTGTGCTTGGTTCATATAAAGCCGTACAGTATATTCTTACTTTGCTAAAAGTACAGGTGAACTAAAAAAATAATTAATTTCTCTGAAGGACCAACATTCCTGTCAACGTGTTCACCAGCAGCCAAAGTTCCTTTTTCTTCACTGAAGATGATGAAAGAATAAAAGGTTTTTACACTTATTCATTTCTTTTTTTATATTTTTAGGTCACCTGAGTAACTCAGGTGACCTATTGCTATCCGTTTTCGTCCGTTGTCATGTGTCATGTATCGTGTGTTGTGCGTCGTGTGTTAACATTTGAACATTTTCAGCTTCTTCTCTGAAACCACTGAACCAATTTCAACCAAATTTGTATACAGCATCTATGGGTGAAGGGGAACAAAATTGTGAATTTTATGGTCCTCGTCCCCCTGGGGCCTGAGGGGTGGGGCCAGAACCACTAAAATTATTGCAATCTTTAAAAAAAGTCTTCTTCTTTACTCCTACATCAAGTAAAACTGTTGGCATGTGTAAAATGAGCATGTGTTATGTTTAATTTAAAAAAATTCTGAAATTCATGGCCCCAGGGCATCAGGGGTTCTAGTGAGGGTGGGGCATATATAGAAAATATAATGAAAATGCATGATTTCTTTGAAAATCTTCTTCTCTGCTCCTGGGTATTAAGTAAACTAACCAAGCACATAGTTATGCAGCAAGAGTGCCTCTTCCAAAATGGTGAATTTTATGGTTTTAAGGTCATTTTCTGGTGTTAGGGTGGGGCTTTATTGATCATATATTTTAAAATGCATTGATTCTTTGAAAATCTTCTTCTCTGCTCCTGGGTATTAAATAAACTAACCAAGTTTATAGTTATGATGAGATACAAGAGTCCTCTTCCAAAATTGTTAATTTTATGGCCACACACAGGGTCATGGGTTCTGCTTAGGGCGGGGCTCTATTTTTTATATAGTAAAATGTATTAATTCTTTGAAAATCTTCTTCTCTGCTCCTGGGTATTAAATAAACTAACATTGCACATCGTTATGATGAGCAAGAGTGCCTCTTCCAAAATTGTGAATTTTATGGCCCCATGGTCATGGGTACTGGTGTTAGGACGGGGCTCTAATGATTATATAGTGAAAATACATTAATTCTTGGAAAATCTTTAAAGTCCTGGGTTTTATGCCAATGATCCTTATATATATTTATGATTAAAAAAATTATCTAGCAAAATGTTATATATTTTAAAAATCCCTCCCTGGGTCGGGGGTGGGGGGTTATAGTTTAAAATAAATTAATGCTTTGAAATCTGCTCTTTGGTATTCATCAACCATTTTATGATAAAATTTGCAAAATTTTGAAATATGTGGCCCCAGGGTCATTGGTTCCTTTGGGATGAGGTGCACAACTGGTTATAAAGTGGAAGTGCATTTTCTCTTAAAATGTTACTGTGATCTACCTCTGGGTATTAATTAAATAGAGTAAGCATGCTAAGTCTATAATTATGATAAGCAATGGTGTCTCTTTCAAAATGGTGAATTGAAAATTTCATGGCCTCTGGTTTAAAACATGAACCAAATTTAATTGTTTGAAAGTTGTTGCACAATACTCAGGTGACCTATAAGGCCCGTGGACCTCTTGTTGAAAAAGAATTTTGTTCAATGTTACTCATAAAATTTACCTAATACAATCAAACTGATGAGGTATTTCTTTGGTTTTTAGAATGTACTTTGCATATTATCATTTGATGTTTAGATGTTTATTGACATTATGTTTTTATATAGTTTGTAACAAGACCATTCATTGAACACTGTCTTTCATGCATTTTGTTGAATTCTGTTGAAAGAAGACATTTTCCTCCAGAATTTACTTTAAAATTTAGCTTTAAGCTCACTTAAACCAAAGGTTCAAGGTTGTTCAAACTGTGGTCGCAAGAATTAAGGTGGGGACACAACTGGGGATGGAAATTTTATATTGGAATACATGGAAAAAATTCCTTATAAGTCATCTCAAAACAGCATGGCCATGGTTGCAATGCACTTGAGCACTGGTCCATGGGCTTCTTTTCTTCTCTACCACTCCGTTATATCATTTTATGTGTACATACATGTATATTTTGTTGCTATTAAGACAACATTTATTTCTTATAATAATGGGAATATCCTATAATTAATGATGCAAATGTCTGCATATTGAGCTCTTTGTAAGCTCGATATTTGTGTATGTTTAATTTTTAAAAACTTTCTCTAAATCAGAGGGCATTCAGGAGTTTTGCAGGAAGGAGGACTTGGAAACAATCAGAGAAAAATGGCTTGAAAAAAGACAGAATCTTGTGCACGTAAGCTCTATTTAATATGCTTAGAAAAAAGGGAATTTGTGCAAATGAAGCCTCTTTGTTTTTTAAGGGTTTAATGTCGTATTTGTTATCCCTCTCGAAAAGTACACAGTTTTTCAGAATTCATAATTTCTCAAGATAGGCCAGTTAATTCTAAATACTGAAAAATAAGTGGCATTATATTAAAGTTAGAAAAGAAAAACTGATTAGATACAAAGTCTTACATGATCTTTCAGCTATTTCTTATTGAGGTTATGATGCATAGCTTTTATTTTTTTTCACATACATGTATTTGATTACTGTGTATTTGATCTGCATTTTATTTTGTAGGCATACACAACAAAACACAAAAGCCTGTCAAGAAAAAAGAGGATAGCTCAGAAAAACAAAAGAAGAAGAAGATAAACTAGTACATTAATCATATTTTAAAGTGGGAAAATGCTTCAAATTTTTATATCAAAAAAATTATCAATAAAATTGTTATATATTATAAAAATGCTTGAGTTTATTTTAAACTTATCATTTAATGCATTCTTCCACATAATTAGACTATGAACATTTTGAAAATTAAGATGTGTACCCTTAACACTTCCATAAACTGTTGATTATTATAGAAAAATTAATTAAGATTTCAAAGCTTACTTTAACTTTTACTATTTATAACTGAATAGTGAAAAGGAGAAAAGTCTGTAAAGCTTTAATTTGAACAGGCCTAGGGCCGTTGGGGTGGCTTTTTATGTACAGTGGACCTTCAGATATCCGTATGCCAGATATCTGGATGCTTCAGTATCCGGAGGATTTTTCATCAGAACAGAATTTTTTAAAGTTATTTTGTTCTGTTAAACTGATTATTCAGGTATCCGGACGCTTCACATATCCGGACAAATTGCCTAGGAACCAAAGCGTCCGAATAAATGAGGCTCCACTGTACATGTACATGTAGCTTCCTACCGGTGTGTTTTACATTTAAATGAATTTTTAGGTCACCTGAGTAAACTCAGGTGACCTATCGCTATCTGTTTTCGTCCGTCGTCGTGCGTCGTGTATTAACATTTGAACATTTTCAGCTTCTTCTCTGCAACCACTGAACCAATTTCAACCAAATTTGGCACAAAGCATCTATGGGTGAAGGGGAACAAAAATTGTGAATTTCATGATCCCTGCCCCCCCTGGGTGAGTTGGGGCCAAAACCACTAAAATTAATGCAATCTTTAAAAATCTTCTTCTTTACTCCTGGACATCAAGCAGTCAAACTGTTTGCATGATTGTAATCAGCATTGAGTCCTCTACCAAAATTGTGAAATTCATGGCCCTGGGGTCAGTGGTTCTAGTGCTAGGGCGGGGCTAAATAAGTATATAGAGAAAATGCATGATTTCTTTGAAAATCTTCTTCTCTGCTCCTGGGTATTAAATAAACCAACTAAGTACATAGTTATGATGAGCAAGAGTGCCTCTACCAAAATTGGGAATTTTATGGCCCCAGGGTCAGGGGTTCTGGTGTTAGGGTTGAGCTCTATTGATTACATATAGTGAAAATACATTATTTCTTTGAAAATCTTCTTCTCAGCTCCTGGGTATTAAATAAACCAACTAAGTACATAGTTATGATGAGCAAGAGTGCCTCTACCAAAATTGTGAATTTTATTGCCCCAGGGTCAAAGGTTCTGGTTTTAGGGGGGGGGGGGGGGGGGGCTCTATTGATTATATAGTGAAATACATGAATTCTTTGAAAATCTTTTTCTCTGCTCCTATGTATTTAATAAACTAACTAAGTGCATAGTTGTGATGAGCAAGATTGTAAAATAAACCAAAATTGTGAATTTTATGGCCCCAGGGTCAAGGGTTCGTGGCAGTGGTATTGATTATATAATTGAAAATACATGAATTGTTTGAAAGGTTCTTCTCTGCTCCTAAAAAATTGGCGATAGACTAACTAAGTACATAGTTATGATTAGCAAGAATTCCTTTTTATAAAATTATGAATTTTATGGCCCCAGGGTCAGGGGTTCTGGTGTTAGGGCGGGGCTCTATTGATTATATAGTTGAAATACATTAAATCTTTGAAAATTTTCTTCTCTGTATCTGGGTATGAAGCAGATGAACTACTTATATAGTTATGATGAGCAAGAGCCCTAATCTTGCAGAATTGTGAATTTCAAGGCCCCAGGGTCAGGGTTGGGGGGGGGGGGGTGTTTTTGCATTACTTATATACTGAAAATGAATTAATTTTTGAAATCTGCGCCTTTGTATTTATAAAACATTTATTTATTGTTTTTTGATACTAGGCAATTTTAAGGGTGCCTTTTTAAAATTTGTGCAATGTGTGGACCTACATGTAGGGTCAGGGGTTTATGTCACAGTGTTAGGGGCACTACTGATTATTGCTGAATTTACTGATTAGTTGGAATGCATTTTTGTTTTACCCTGTGTATATATTCAGTAACCAAGCTAAGCAACTGCTAAGTGTATTGTTATGATGATCAATGGTGGCTCTTTCAAAATTGTGAAAACATGAATCAAATTCAATGACTGGAAAGCGTTGTTGCATTATGCTCAGGTGACCTATAAGGCCCGTGGGCCTCTTGTTTTATGTTGCAATCAAATTTTCCAGCCCGGTAATGGTTTTCCCTTAAGCTTGCAATGGAGGTGGGGATACAGTAATGCACTTGTGTATTAGTGGGCTCATCCTTTGTGTCAATGGACGTGAGTCTCAATTTGATTCGAGATTGATCTCGAATGTTGTCTTGATTTATAGATTAGCTCTTTGCAAGGGGACGCTTTGCTGTGCTATGCCCTTTGTATATACTGTTACACATGTAAACTGTAAATGTACATTATATGTTCAACCACTCTAAAAAATTAGTTAAGTCTTCCTCAGCAATTTATTAATTAGTGTAAACATGAACCAGGGCACTAAGAGCCTCATTGGAGCCAAGCCCCCTTTATTTTTAATACATAAACATGATTTGACTGAAGTTCTAGAATATGTATATTGTGCTTTAAATTATATTCAGTATCAAGTTAATTATATTGTACGAGGATTATTGAAGCAAATTATAATCAGCAAAAAGTCTACACAATGATAACATATTTACAGCAACATCATTTATATATCGGAAATAAAATTGGACCTAAAACAGAACCTTGGGGTACACCTGCAAAAATATCTAGTTTTGATGAAAACATAATCTTTATACATTAACTTTTTTTTTAACCTTTTACACAAATAACTAAAAAAACACTGAAAACCACCAAAAGAGCAAGTATTATGACCACAGCTAATTTAAAAATAAGTACCATGAACAGGAATTTTTGCCCTCTTAAGGCTTTTATTTTCGCCCCATCTGTTTTTGATCGTTGCAAGTACATATAATCGTATTTAAAATACATTTAGGTCGAATTCAAGAAGACACCATTTTTTCTTTAATACAGTTTTACCTGGACAAATTAAAAAAAAGACTGAACTGATTGTAAGACTAGGATGAGAAGGCAAACACAACACGATGCGACTAGCGCTAACCCGAAAATAACTGCATACAGTATGTTTAAAGGGTATTTCAGCTATGTCGTTTAGTTCACATTTATGGATACTAAACAAAGAAAAGCTGGAGACCAACACCTTGAGCTTGAAATTGCGGAAGATTCTCACAAGTGGATACCGAAAGGTATTCAATAGGGTCTGTAACTAAAGTTATAAACTTAAAAGTATAAAACAGATCACCAACACTTCGTGAGAATGAAGCAGTAAATTTACTGCCGCATACTCACGAAGTGTTGATGATCTGTTTTATACTTTTAAATTTATGGATACTGTCAATTCGTTTCCGTCAGAACCACCTTTTCAGTTTTTACATCATGGGAATGGTAGCCTTAAATTAATATTTTGATGAAGTTTTCTTTCGGGTAGCCCTTGCATTGCAATTAATTACTCTCATTTTAACTTAATACATGTATAAAATAAATTTAAATCAAATTAAAGAATGTTACAATAAAAACAAGCTAATATAAGTATTCAATCAAATTATCATACGACACAAAATGTTCCAAGTTAAGATACATGTAGCACCAATAAATCCTTCAATTATAATAAAGGACTAGAATTTAGCCACATCATATTCGTATGTATGGGCGGGGTTAGGTTTCTCGTAACGTGTGTCTGTTTCTCTGTGTTCGTCATAGGTCCAGTTCCAGTGTCCAGGAACGTTTGACTGTAAAGTGTTCTGATCACCATTTTGTATGTTGCTATAGCGACGCTTTTGTACTTCCGTTTCATAAACCGGCTTTGAACTTATATAGTTTCTGGCGGGAATTTCTTCATAGATATCATTATTTTGTTGTAACTTTTCTGGCTTTTTATAATCTCTGAAATTTTTTTTAAAAAAAGATAAAAACTTAATTTAAATTGATCTATCAGTGTGTAGAATATACAGTTGAAATCTTGTGAAAAATAAATAAAAAATTGAATCAAACACAAACCTGGTGAAAAACTTGAAGGTGATTATGGCAGCAAAGCACGCAACTGCCGTTAGAAGCACCAACAAGAGTGCAATCACTGAAAAAAGAGATTCAATCATATCACCAATCAATATGTACAGAGAGAGAGAGAGCGGAGAGAAAATATGAGAAACGTCTTTTTTTCCTTAATAGCTCACCTGAGCCAGAGGCTCAAGTGGACTTTTCTTTCTGCCGAGTGGCTTGGCAGTGTCTGTCTGTCCTTCTTATGTGTTGTCTGTAAACAACATTTTCTTACATTTTCAACTTAATTTTCAGAATCAATCAATCTAATTTAGCGAAAATGTATTATGAAAGTTAAATGAATGTTATGCCATCGTTCAATTTTAAGAGTAGATATTATTGGAATTGTGAAAATATATGAAAGGGTGGGGTTGAAAATCAAACATCATAGCGCAATAAAATAAAAATAAAATAGAACTTATAAATACAATAGCCTGTGTTTTCAAATCATGGTTTTATGGGGGTACATTGTAAAGTAGGGTCAGAATGGGGTATAGAATTTTCAAAAAGGAAAATTGAAATGAAAAGGATTAAAACAATCATCTCGAGAACAGAGGGCAAGATCAGTGATATTGACATGCAAACGTTCTAAGGTAATGTAGATCAAAGAGTGTTCAAATGACCCCGAATGTTGGAATGAGTCAAAGTTGAGAATACAGGTTTTTACATGGGAATATTTGGGAAAAAGTGATTTGAAACACAGGAACCTAATTAAATTTATCAATCATATGAATATGCAAAGCATCCTTGTATTTCACGATAGTAAAGTGGAAAGAAATCTTTCAAGAATCTTATGAAGAGGAACAACACGTCCTTTGTGGCACGGATGAGCTTTGTGGCCTCTTGCTAGTATTTGCAGTAAATCATTAATAGCTATTGTATTTTGATCTGAGAGTAAAACGTGATTGATAACACACCTGTATAAAGGGTTGATTTGTTGCATTCTTGGGTGTTTATATATGGCGCCAAATTAAGGTTCTTGTCATGCAGAGATGTTTCTGATTGGCTTGTATTCCAAACGGTAGTGGTAACGTCATTAGTTAGTGTGACGGTTTCCGTACTTCCGGTTGTTGAGACTTGCTCAGTTGTTGTTGGTTGATTTATTTCATTATAACAAGTAACAGACATTGCAGCATCGGTGGCACCAGCTTTAAACAAAGAATAGGTTGTTATTAAGATGTATATGTACATAATATTATTACATTATACATCATGTACATGTATGTGTGAAGATTTTGAAAATTGCAATTTGCTAAAATCATTGAAAACTGAATGAAAAATTATAAAACTTCTATAATTTTTTTGCTGCTTTATTTAGCGTTTGTATTATCTCAAAAGGCAGCGGTTGAGAGTACGTACAGTGTACTATATTTTACACGTAACTTTAATTTGGCGACTAGGGGTCAACATCCTGCCTCGAACAGGCTGAGAATAGCTGGCAATTGCTCTCTGAGCAATAAGCCCGGGTAAAATTCACTCAGTAATTAAGCAATAGCTATTGAAAGTGTTTCAACTGTTTTTAAATACGTGTTTTATTAATTTTTTTTGTGCATTCTATTTAACCTTCAGCTCGTCAAATAAAAAAAAAATGACTAAGTCTGGTGACAAATAAAACAGTTATGCTAGGAATATAAATGATAAAAATAAAATTCATCATTTATCTTTGATTCTGTTCTGATGTTTCATGGAGGATATCATCGCCATGCAACAAAACCCTTTTCTATGTAAAACGAAAGTACAATTTTTATAACTATACATGTATATAGGGACAGGCTTGAAATTGATTTTTTTCTCTCACACGCAAAATTAAGCATCATCAAATGACAAGATCGTACGGGCACTGGGTCATAAATGTAAAAGGTTTGCTGGAAGAGTTCGCAAGAATCGATGAAAAGCATGATAATAATGGAATTTATATATGTCATGCGACGGAAATGAAATTCTTCGTCAAGAAAACTTGATGAATGCCAATGAGATATATGTTCATTTATTAAAACAACATCTCTGCAGTTTTTTTACCTTGTGAAATATATATATATTTTTTAATTTTGAATTACAAATTGGGGAAGGTTGCTTATTTAGTCTTTATTTAACATAACATGTCAACAGAATGGCAGATAACCATGGATTCTAAAAAAATAATAATAATAAACCCGTTTAATTAATTAACTTAATAGTTGAATAAAGAAAATATTAATTAGTTACTTATATCAAGCCTGTAACAGTAATGAACATCAAAAGGCGAATTGTGCTTCATTATCGTAATCTGCAGGGTATTGCCCTCCTTAAGTCCAGGAACAGTTGTCCCCCCATAGCATGGGATTATGTCCCCTGAGTGTGGCTTATCGTTCTTCTGAACGTGGATCTCTGTGCCACATCCCACGTAACCAGGGGCAGTAACTTGGCTGAAATGGAATTGTCTCCCTTTGATAACGAGAATCTCGCATCGACACGTGGTGACGGACGAGTGTTGAGCGAAGGAAAAATCCATCAGTAAGTTTGATTTTACCAAGGACCCTCCTTTGCACATGTTAATTACTGTAAAGAAGAAAAAAATTAATGGAAACTGTAAAGAAGAGAAAATTAATGAAAATGGATGGTTATTATCTAGGTTTTGAACTTGAAGTTTCATTGCATGTTGATAAATTAATGAGTATAGTTGAATCCACACTTTTCAAAAGTTATGTCCCTTGGCCGCCATCTTAGGGGATAAACCCATAGAATCCTCACAGTACCCTTTGTAGTTTTCAGGTTTAAAACTTTGTCATTTGACTGGGAAAAATCGTTGCATATTGTATACTGATTGCCCCATGTTGGGGCTACGCACACATCCAAAGAAAACAATTTAAACACAGTGGATTCATCATAGCCCACCCAAATGTTTGGAAGCATAAAGAGGAGAAATGTTGCTTCTTTCCCTTTTGACCTTTTGGTTAACCCTGCAAAGGGAAACAACTTTTGTAAAGTGTGGATTGATCTATTTCTTATTTGTAAAATCACTGATTTTGGTTTGTATTTAAAATTCGTTGTTTTCGTAGTAGAAAAAGCCGCAAATTCATAGGCCTACCCATCAAGAAAGAATTTTTTTCAAGTCAAAATAATACTACTCTTCAACAATATTAATTAAAATCAAATTCCTTCGAGCCTACATTTTTATTTCAACCACAATAATTTGAACTCTATAAATTACAATGTAAATGTTAATTTTTCATTTAAGATATACATGTAATTAAGAAAATTCATCTTTCTAAATGATTTTGTGAGATACCAGCATAAGGTCTCTTCGTAGATTTTGTTAAATATTTCAACTTTTTTTCTTCATAAGAACACGAAAGAAGAATTTGCATTTAAGAAATACTTTGTAAGCATAATTACCAGAAAGGCCTTCATTTGGACATGCCGGAGATCCTAAAAAAAGAAGGAAATGACATAAAATGTACCTAACAATTACCAAATAAGACAATTAAGCACACAAAACTCTGTTCCATACAAATTCCACTTTTAATTATCTTACTTATTTTTTTTATTATTGGTACCTGATAAAAATATGATTTGTTCTATCAACGTTAACCATACATGTAACAGTGATCATTTAAAAGTCAGACAGCAATGTGCTTTGAAGAGACACAGCAGAAATCAATTATATATTTGGGTTTATTTTCCTCTTGTTAATAATCCATTCATTTCTCTTCCCCCCTTATTCCCCTATACATGCGCTTAGTATTTCCATCGCTACTAGCACATCCCTTATCTTAGCTGACCACCTTGTTGAAAATCTTATATATTTCATAGATTTGGACCTTCATCTTTTAATTTTTTACATTGTCATTACACGTGTTTCTTAAAATGATACACCTATTTAAATAAAATCATTTCAATTATTTAAAAATACTAGTACATCCCATTGGCTGAAACTTAAGAAAAAAGCATGATGACAAACCTTTAATTGATACAGGTAAATAGAATCCAAACCAGAATAATATGGCTACCATGTTGTTATTGTTTTCAATCAAGATGTACGGAAGTAAACACTGCCATCCCCCGATTCATAGATATCATCAATAATTGATTACTTATCTATCCATCCAATTTTTAGAACGAAGAAATATCCTTTGTTTCAAACAGAACGTTACGGAATATCTAGTTTATTACTTTGAAATGGTTACCTGAAAATCTCAGGTGGAAAATATTACCATGACAACGCACTATATCAGTTTTCCAGCATTCTGAGCTTTATAGATATCGATTGAATTGAACAAAGCAAAACAAAAGGCGATACACATATATCTATTCATTGCATAATTAACAATTTTTGAAGACGAGGTTGTATTTCTGTTTATTAGCGTTTTCATGTAAGACAGAAAGATGTAAGACAGATTAAAAAAAAATGATAATAACAATATATAATAAGACCATCATTCTCCTTCCCATAAGATTAAAGAATCACAGTAGATAGATATACATGTAAGTTGAACATCGGTAACTCGAACACTTTTATCTGGAAAACCACCGGTACCGTGGCCATGTCGAAGTGAGTTGTGAGTCCCAAACCATTTTTTTTTCGATAATAAGTAATTATAGATCTCGTTAATAATCCCAAATGCTTTAATGTCTGGAGTTTTTTTTCTCTCTATTCAATCGAGTTTGAGATAAACGATGTTTTAAAAACTATTTCGGATTACAGTTTCGCATGAATGGAATTGTATAAGTAAAGATTGAAGAAAAAACCCCTAAAGAAACACAATAGAGCCTTTAGTTACAATTTGAAATATTCCTACATTGTACGTACTAATTTTTTCTTTTCATATTATGATCGAACCTTTAATTTGAGTTGGCTAAAATCAGAATCAAAATTGAAATATAGCATGTTAAGGAAAAAAAATTCCTTCTCCATCATTACAGTGCTAATTTAGATATTTTGATATTGAAACACCCCCGCGTTGTTTGGATTCGAAGCTCCTTGAAGCTGAGGTGGGCAATACAGGTAATTCAAAGGGATTAAAATTTATCAAAGGAATCTAAAAATCTTTCAATAAAAAATCTGAAGAACACACAGGGCTCCGGTAATTCAGGTGAGCGTTGAGGCCCATGAATAATGTTTTTGAATTACTTTTCTCTTACCTTTTCAATGCTTAAAATTAGAGCGACCCCAGCCCCTTCCTTTCGGTTTGTTCGAATTCGCCTTAACTGTAAAATTTAGCATTAACATTTCGCCTAAGTCAGCTTTCATGTAAATCAAGGCGAAATCGGGACTTTTATAAACACCTTATAAATTAATTCCCCGGTGTTTTTCATTAAACTTAAAAGTCAGAAATTAATTACATGAATGACGAGACATACGTAACAACATATACAGGTACACTGTAAATAGCATATGGAATAAAAACAAATCAAATGCAAACTATTTATAAGTGGTTGTCATTTTAATGGAAGAGCTTCTAAAATAATGAACGCATGTACATCATTTCAATTGTATCAAAGCCATAAAACAAGCAGTAACATAAAAAATAATAATTTTAATTCTTAAAACATTAGAAATATCACAAAGAACTTTTCTATTGGGCTATATTGGTTTTATATAGACAATCATGATTGAACTGTGAAGCAAACCAATTCACTGTATTTACTAAATGAAATGTTTCATTTAACAAATGTGCCAGATAAATGAAATACAGTTATAAAATGAATGCCATGGACGCATGAGTCAAATAAATATTCCTGAGATTCTTAAGTTGAAAGCGTAAGATATATTCAAATTATCAAATAATAACATCTATATACATCGAACATTTTGCACATATAATTCATAATTAAAGTAATACAATCCCCCCCCCCCCCATATATTTAACGTTTTTCTTCATTGATGTTGCCCTAATATTTTCCCTTAATAACAATTCTGCAGTACATAGTTAATGTTTGGTTAAAACAACGAGTATTGTATTCTTGAATTCTATTTATAACACTTTGTTCACGGAACATGCTTCCAAACCGTTGTTTAGAAACTATTTCGGATAATAAAACTACGTACATGTATTACAACAATCGGGTAATTAGTAAGAGTAAATTAAAACTATGAAATTTATCTTTGCTTCAGCAGCAAGCTCATAGAGAATTACCAAGAGTGCATGTTTTTTTTTCTGTACATTTACTCGTATATTTCAGTTGTTTCAAGTTCCAAAGTGAATATATGTCTTTCGATTCTCCGACGTTGTTCTCTGAAAAGTAAATGAAATGTATGGAGAATAGTATTCAAGCTCAAAAGTCTATGAAACAATAATACAAAATTGTAGCAGAGTAAACTGATCTCCAAAACAACAGAGGTTGGATCAGATGCCATGGAGGATTGAGAATCCACTGCAGACCAGTCACACCCATCGTGTGCTCCTTGTCATGATCGGGAAAAATATATTCATGTAATGAATTGAAGCTCAGCTACTTTAGTGGAATACAGAGGTGTACGTATTTTCTTCAGACAAAAGTCCATACCTTCTACATTTCTGCATGAGGAACACTAGAAATAAAATAAGTCCAGTCGTCCCCAGTAAAATTGCCAATACACGCCAATTTAATGATAGCCAGTCCTCGAAAAGAAAGAAAAAGTTTATTATTAATTTCAGTTAAGTGTGCAGTTTTGCATTACGTCACAACCTATGATGACAGCCTCGCCCCAGTTAAATAGTACACGCCTCCTAACTGCAAGCTTTACGACTGGAACTTTCTTCTTATCCCTGATGGGTTGCTTGTACAACAGATTATTTCCGTGTCAATGTTGATAATATGAGTTGACCAGTCAAACAGCGCGGGGGGGGGGGGGCTGAAAAATCTGTCGAAAAAGATCGTGACGTAATGTAAAACTGCACACTTAACTGAAATTGATAAAATAACGTCAGCTTATGAGTGTACGAAAGAACTGTCATGAAAAACAGAAAAAAAATATTACAGAAAAGTATTTTTGAAAGAAAAGTGATAATATAATTTACTGCATTATGCTTCGTCTTTGTAGGCTTGCCCAATCGGAAAGGAAAGTTGTATTTTCGGAGTTTTTCTGGTGCCATCGCCAAGTAAGTTTGCAGGAATGTATCGCTGTTTATTATTTCTTCATCACAGGAGATACTAAGGGCAAATGTGGATGTTTTCGTCCTGGTAACAGTTTAATAATATACTTTTATGATTTTTTATGTTTATCTTTGTGTCAATTTTACAAATACTGCCGTTATTTCGCCTTCTTTTTATGCTCTACATTTCTAAATATTTGACTTTCAAAGCATAACGTAATGAACAAGGCCAAAGTACTGCAAATTTGAGTTGTCGTTTGCATGTCGAACAGAAAGAACTTTGTCTTCAGTAAGTTTTGTTAATTCTATTAATAAATATATAAAGTTTTTTTTCAGTTGAATTCAAAATAAGTTTCATTTAATATTTGTACCTTTCCCTCAGTTTCAACACATCAATGAACACGTGAATATTTTTGTTCTCACATATATTATCCGCTACAAATAATTCGATAGAGAATTCCAGTTGAATCACAGAGTTGCTATTTAATTTCCCATCAACTGTCACTGCTCCAGCTCCTATGAAAGCAAAAAAAAAAAAAGAGTAATTGTTGAACGTTAATATAATTTGCTTTATTTAATAATAAAATCATACTTTCTTTTCTTTTATTTTTCATACTGTGGTGGTATAATTATGTTTCGGGCTGTTACAACTTTTAATTTTATCTCTAATAAAAAATTTATTATTCGATCAAATTTATAAAGATTTATTTAGAAATACGTCTTTGTTATTATACAAACACATACCTTTCATATTGCATTTTTCCACATCATCGTCCTTGCAAAAAATGGTACAGTTGTCTCCATACCAATGGTCGAAGCATGACAACTGTCCTTGGTCATCACATTTCGAATGTTTCAATTCAATACAATTCTTTGAACAAGTACTACCATACCAGTGATTTTCACAGACCAAGACACCAGCATCATTACATTTTCCATGGGGCGCATCTTGACAGAAAGTTTCACAATTTCTCCCAAAAAAGTTCTTGTTACATAACAGATTTCCATTTTCATCACAAGACCCTTTTTCTGATGTAAGACAAAGCTTCTCACAATCAATTCCATAATAATTTGATTCACAATTTAAGGTTCCATCATGAGAACATGATCCGTGTGTAGAATTTTTACAAAACACGTCACATGTCTTACCATAGTAATTCTCAAAGCACTGCAGAGTACCAGACAATAAACAAATTCCGTTCTCGGTGTTTCGACAAAATGTAGAACAGTTGGGGCCAAAGTAATTCTTGTGGCAATAAAGTATTCCCTCGAGTGTACAAGTACCATGCGTGACGTTTGGGCAGAATTGGGTGCAGTTCTGTCCATAATAGTTTTCACGGCAAATACGTTTTCCCTCTAGTGAACAAGTACCATGAGTGACATTAGAACAGAATATCGTACAATTGTCACCATAGTAATTTGGATGACAATTTAATGTCCCATTTTCAGAACAGTTACCATGTGTGACGTTTGGACAGAATGTCGTACAATTTGCTCCATAGTATTGATCAGCACAGTCGAGTTGTCCCTCTCTTGAACAGGTACCGTGAGTAACGTTTTGACAGAATATGGTACAGTTGGGGCCATAGTAATTCTCGTGACAATCAAGTACTCCCTCGTGTGTACAAGTACCATGCGTGACGTTTGGGCAGAATTGGGTGCAGTTCTGTCCATAATAGTTTTCACGGCAAATACGTTTTCCCTCTAGTGAACAAGTACCATGAGTGACATTAGAACAGAATATCGTACAATTGTCACCATAGTAATTTGGATGACAATTTAATGTCCCATTCTCAGAACAGTTACCATGTGTGACGTTTGGACAGAATGTCGTACAATTTGCTCCATAGTATTGATCAGCACAGTCGAGTTGTCCCTCTCTTGAACAGGTACCGTGTGTAACGTTTTGACAATCAAGAATATGGTACAGTTGGGGCCATAGTAATTCTGGTGACAATCAAGTACTCCCTCGTGTGTACAAGTACCATGCGTGACGTTTGGGCAGAATTGGGTGCAGTTCTGTCCATAATAGTTTTCACGGCAAATACGTTTTCCCTCTAGTGAACAAGTACCATGAGTGACATTAGAACAGAATATCGTACAATTGTCACCATAGTAATTTGGATGACAATTTAATGTCCCATTCTCAGAACAGTTACCATGTGTGACGTTTGGACAGAATGTCGTACAATTTGCTCCATAGTATTGATCAGCACAGTCGAGTTGTCCCTCTCTTGAACAGGTACCGTGTGTAACGTTTTGACAGAATATGGTACAGTTGGGGCCATAGTAATTCTCGTGACAATCAAGTACTCCCTCGTGTGTACAAGTACCATGCGTGACGTTTGGGCAGAATTGGGTGCAGTTCTGTCCATAATAGTTTTCACGGCAAATACGTTTTCCCTCTAGTGAACAAGTACCATGAGTGACATTAGAACAGAATATCGTACAATTGTCACCATAGTAATTTGGATGACAATTTAATGTCCCATTCTCAGAACAGTTACCATGTGTGACGTTTGGACAGAATGTCGTACAATTTGCTCCATAGTATTGATCAGCACAGTCGAGTTGTCCCTCTCTTGAACAGGTACCGTGAGTAACGTTTTGACAGAATATGGTACAGTTGGGGCCATAGTAATTCTCGTGACAATCAAGTACTCCCTCGTGTGTACAAGTACCATGCGTGACGTTTGGGCAGAATTGGGTGCAGTTCTGTCCATAATAGTTTTCACGGCAAATACGTTTTCCCTCTAGTGAACAAGTACCATGAGTGACATTAGAACAGAATATCGTACAATTGTCACCATAGTAATTTGGATGACAATTTAATGTCCCATTCTCAGAACAGTTACCATGTGTGACGTTTGGACAGAATGTCGTACAATTTGCTCCATAGTATTGATCAGCACAGTCGAGTTGTCCCTCTCTTGAACAGGTACCGTGTGTAACGTTTTGACAGAATATGGTACAGTTGGGGCCATAGTAATTCTCGTGACAATCAAGTACTCCCTCGTGTGTACAAGTACCATGCGTGACGTTTGGGCAGAATTGGGTGCAGTTCTGTCCATAATAGTTTTCACGGCAAATACGTTTTCCCTCTAGTGAACAAGTACCATGAGTGACATTAGAACAGAATATCGTACAATTGTCACCATAGTAATTTGGATGACAATTTAATGTCCCATTCTCAGAACAGTTACCATGTGTGACGTTTGGACAGAATGTCGTACAATTTGCTCCATAGTATTGATCAGCACAGTCGAGTTGTCCCTCTCTTGAACAGGTACCGTGTGTAACGTTTTGACAGAATATGGTACAGTTGGGGCCATAGTAATTCTCGTGACAATCAAGTACTCCCTCGTGTGTACAAGTACCATGCGTGACGTTTGGGCAGAATTGGGTGCAGTTCTGTCCATAATAGTTTTCACGGCAAATACGTTTTCCCTCTAGTGAACAAGTACCATGAGTGACATTAGAACAGAATATCGTACAATTGTCACCATAGTAATTTGGATGACAATTTAATGTCCCATTCTCAGAACAGTTACCATGTGTGACGTTTGGACAGAATGTCGTACAATTTGCTCCATAGTATTGATCAGCACAGTCGAGTTGTCCCTCTCTTGAACAGGTACCGTGTGTAACGTTTTGACAGAATATGGTACAGTTGGGGCCATAGTAATTCTCGTGACAATCAAGTACTCCCTCGTGTGTACAAGTACCATGCGTGACGTTTGGGCAGAATTGGGTGCAGTTCTGTCCATAATAGTTTTCACGGCAAATACGTTTTCCCTCTAGTGAACAAGTACCATGAGTGACATTAGAACAGAATATCGTACAATTGTCACCATAGTAATTTGGATGACAATTTAATGTCCCATTCTCAGAACAGTTACCATGTGTGACGTTTGGACAGAATGTCGTACAATTTGCTCCATAGTATTGATCAGCACAGTCGAGTTGTCCCTCTCTTGAACAGGTACCGTGTGTAACGTTTTGACAGAATATGGTACAGTTGGGGCCATAGTAATTCTCGTGACAATCAAGTACTCCCTCGTGTGTACAAGTACCATGCGTGACGTTTGGGCAGAATTGGGTGCAGTTCTGTCCATAATAGTTTTCACGGCAAATACGTTTTCCCTCTAGTGAACAAGTACCATGAGTGACATTAGAACAGAATATCGTACAATTGTCACCATAGTAATTTGGATGACAATTTAATGTCCCATTCTCAGAACAGTTACCATGTGTGACGTTTGGACAGAATGTCGTACAATTTGCTCCATAGTATTGATCAGCACAGTCGAGTTGTCCCTCTCTTGAACAGGTACCGTGTGTAACGTTTTGACAGAATATGGTACAGTTGGGGCCATAGTAATTCTCGTGACAATCAAGTACTCCCTCGTGTGTACAAGTACCATGCGTGACGTTTGGGCAGAATTGGGTGCAGTTCTGTCCATAATAGTTTTCACGGCAAATACGTTTTCCCTCTAGTGAACAAGTACCATGAGTGACATTAGAACAGAATATCGTACAATTGTCACCATAGTAATTTGGATGACAATTTAATGTCCCATTCTCAGAACAGTTACCATGTGTGACGTTTGGACAGAATGTCGTACAATTTGCTCCATAGTATTGATCAGCACAGTCGAGTTGTCCCTCTCTTGAACAGGTACCGTGTGTAACGTTTTGACAGAATATGGTACAGTTGGGGCCATAGTAATTCTCGTGACAATCAAGTACTCCCTCGTGTGTACAAGTACCATGCGTGACGTTTGGGCAGAATTGGGTGCAGTTCTGTCCATAATAGTTTTCACGGCAAATACGTTTTCCCTCTAGTGAACAAGTACCATGAGTGACATTAGAACAGAATATCGTACAATTGTCACCATAGTAATTTGGATGACAATTTAATGTCCCATTCTCAGAACAGTTACCATGTGTGACGTTTGGACATGTGATTTGCTCCATAGTATTGATCAGCACAGTCGAGTTGTCCCTCTCTTGAACAGGTACCGTGTGTAACGTTTTGACAGAATATGGTACAGTTGGGGCCATAGTAATTCTCGTGACAATCAAGTACTCCCTCGTGTGTACAAGTACCATGCGTGACGTTTGGGCAGAATTGGGTGCAGTTCTGTCCATAATAGTTTTCACGGCAAATACGTTTTCCCTCTAGTGAACAAGTACCATGAGTGACATTAGAACAGAATATCGTACAATTGTCACCATAGTAATTTGGATGACAATTTAATGTCCCATTCTCAGAACAGTTACCATGTGTGACGTTTGGACAGAATGTCGTACAATTTGCTCCATAGTATTGATCAGCACAGTCGAGTTGTCCCTCTCTTGAACAGGTACCGTGTGTAACGTTTTGACAGAATATGGTACAGTTGGGGCCATAGTAATTCTGGTGACAATCAAGTACTCCCTCGTGTGTACAAGTACCATGCGTGACGTTTGGGCAGAAGTGGGTGCAGTTCTGTCCATAATAGTTTTCACGGCAAATACGTTTTCCCTCTAGTGAACAAGTACCATGAGTGACATAAGAACAGAATATCGTACAATTGTCACCATAGTAATTTGGATGACAATTTAATGTCCCATTCTCAGAACAGTTACCATGTGTGACGTTTGGACAGAATGTCGTACAATTTGCTCCATAGTATTGATCAGCACAGTCGAGTTGTCCCTCTCTTGAACAGGTACCGTGAGTAACGTTTTGACAGAATATGGTACAGTTGGGGCCATAGTAATTCTCGTGACAATCAAGTACTCCCTCGTGTGTACAAGTACCATGCGTGACGTTTGGGCAGAAGTGGGTGCAGTTCTGTCCATAATAGTTTTCACGGCAAATACGTTTTCCCTCTAGTGAACAAGTACCATGAGTGACATTAGAACAGAATATCGTACAATTGTCACCATAGTAATTTGGATGACAATTTAATGTCCCATTCTCAGAACAGTTACCATGTGTGACGTTTGGACAGAATGTCGTACAATTTGCTCCATCGTATTGATCAGCACAGTCGACATGTCCCTCTCTTGAACAGGTACCGTGTGTAACGTTTTGACAGAATATGGTACAGTTGGGGCCATAGTAATTCTGGTGACAATCAAGTACTCCCTCGTGTGTACAAGTACCATGCGTGACATTTGGGCAGAAGTGGGTGCAGTTCTGTCCATAATAGTTTTCACGGCAAATACGTTTTCCCTCTAGTGAACAAGTACCATGAGTGACATTAGAACAGAATGTCGTACAATTGTCCCCATAGTAATTTGGATGACAATTTAATGTCCCATTCTCAGAACAGTTACCATGTGTGACATTTGGACAGAATGTCGTACAATTTGCTCCATAGTATTGATCACGACAGTCGAGTTTTCCCTCTGTTGAACAGGTACCGTGTGTAACGTTTTGACAGAATATGGTACAGTTGGGGCCATAGTAATTCTGGTGACAATCAAGTACTCCCTCGTGTGTACAAGTACCATGCGTGACGTTTGGGCAGAAGTGGGTGCAGTTTTCACGGCAAATACTGTCCATAATGAGTTTTCACGGCAAATACGTTTTCCCCTAGTGAACAAGTACCATGAACAGTTACATGTGTGACGTTTGGACAGAATGTCGTACAATTGTCCATAGTATTGATCACGACATAGTAATTTGGTATGACAATTTAATGTCCCATAGTAATTCTCAGAACAGTTACCATGTGTGACGTTTGGGCAGAATGTGCAGTACAATTTGCTCCATAGTACATTTATCACGACAGTCGAGTTGTCCCTCTCTTGAACAGGTACCGTGTGTAACGTTTTGACAGAATATGGTACAGTTGGGGCCATAGTAATTCTGGTGACAATCAAGTACTCCCTCGTGTGTACAAGTACCATGCGTGACGTTTGGGCAGAAGTGGGTGCAGTTCTGTCCATAATAGTTTTCACGGCAAATACGTTTTCCCTCTAGTGAACAAGTACCATGAGTGACATTAGAACAGAATGTCGTACAATTGTCCCCATAGTAATTTGGATGACAATTTAATGTCCCATCCTCAGAACAGTTACCATGTGTGACGTTTGGACAGAATGTCGTACAATTTGCTCCATAGTATTGATCACGACAGTCGAGTTTTCCCTCTGTTGAACAGGTACCGTGTGTAACGTTTTGACAGAATATGGTACAGTTGGGGCCATAGTAATTCTGGTGACAATCAAGTACTCCCTCGTGTGTACAAGTACCATGCGTGACGTTTGGGCAGAAGTGGGTGCAGTTCTGTCCATAATAGTTTTCACGGCAAATACGTTTTCCCTCTAGTGAACAAGTACCATGAGTGACATTAGAACAGAATGTCGTACAATTGTCCCCATAGTAATTTGGATGACAATTTAATGTCCCATCCTCAGAACAGTTACCATGTGTGACGTTTGGACAGAATGTCGTACAATTTGCTCCATAGTATTTATCACGACAGTCGAGTTTTCCCTCTGTTGAACAGGTACCGTGTGTAACGTTTTGACAGAATATGGTACAGTTGGGGCCATAGTAATTCTGGTGACAATCAAGTACTCCCTCGTGTGTACAAGTACCATGCGTGACGTTTGGGCAGAAGTGGGTGCAGTTTTGTCCATAATAGTTTTCACGGCAAATACGTTTTCCCTCTAGTGAACAAGTACCATGAGTGACATTAGAACAGAATGTCGTACAATTGTCCCCATAGTAATTTGGATGACAATTTAATGTCCCATCCTCAGAACAGTTACCATGTGTGACGTTTGGACAGAATGTCGTACAATTTGCTCCATAGTATTGATCACGACAGTCGAGTTTTCCCTCTGTTGAACAGGTACCGTGTGTAACGTTTTGACAGAATATGGTACAGTTGGGGCCATAGTAATTCTGGTGACAATCAAGTACTCCCTCGTGTGTACAAGTACCATGCGTGACGTTTGGGCAGAAGTGAGAGCATGAGTGACATTAGTTCTGTCCATAATAGTTTTCACGGCACAGTTACCATGTGTGATTTGGACAATATTGATCAGCACAGTCGAGTTGTCCCTCTCTTGAACAGGTACCGTGTGTAACGTTTTGACAGAATATGGTACAGTTGGGGCTACGTTTTCCTTCTAATGAACAAGTACCATGAGTGACATTAGAACAGAATGTCGTACAATTGTCCCCATAGTAATTTGGATGACAATTTAATGTCCCATCCTCAGAACAGTTACCATGTGTGACGTTTGGACAGAATGTCGTACAATTTGCTCCATAGTATTGATCACGACAGTCGAGTTTTCCCTCTGTTGAACAGGTACCGTGTGTAACGTTTTGACAGAATATGGTACAGTTGGGGCCATAGTAATTCTGGTGACAATCAAGTACTCCCTCGTGTGTACAAGTACCATGCGTGACGTTTGGGCAGAAGTGAGAGCAGTTCTGTCCATAATAGTTTTCACGGCAAATACGTTTTCCTTCTAGTGAACAAGTACCATGAGTGACATTAGAACAGAATGTCGTACAATTGTCCCCATAGTAATTTGGATGACAATTTAATGTCCCATCCTCAGAACAGTTACCATGTGTGACGTTTGGACAGAATGTCGTACAATTTGCTCCATAGTATTGATCACGACAGTCGAGTTTTCCCTCTGTTGAACAGGTACCGTGTGTAACGTTTTGACAGAATATGGTACAGTTGGGGCCATAGTAATTCTGGTGACAATCAAGTACTCCCTCGTGTGTACAAGTACCATGCGTGACGTTTGGGCAGAAGTGGGTGCAGTTCTGTCCATAATAGTTTTCACGGCAAATACGTTTTCCCTCTAGTGAACAAGTACCATGAGTGACATTAGAACAGAATGTCGTACAATTGTCCCCATAGTAATTTGGATGACAATTTAATGTCCCATCCTCAGAACAGTTACCATGTGTGACGTTTGGACAGAATGTCGTACAATTTGCTCCATAGTATTGATCACGACAGTCGAGTTTTCCCTCTGTTGAACAGGTACCGTGTGTAACGTTTTGACAGAATATGGTACAGTTGGGGCCATAGTAATTCTGGTGACAATCAAGTACTCCCTCGTGTGTACAAGTACCATGCGTGACGTTTGGGCAGAAGTGGGTGCAGTTCTGTCCATAATAGTTTTCACGGCAAATACGTTTTCCCTCTAGTGAACAAGTACCATGAGTGACATTAGAACAGAATGTCGTACAATTGTCTCCATAGTAATTTGGATGACAATTTAATGTCCCATCCTCAGAACAGTTACCATGTGTGACGTTTGGACAGAATGTCGTACAATTTGCTCCATAGTACTGAACACCACACACGAGTATTACCACTGTTGAACAGGTACCGTGTGTAACGTTTTGACAGAATATGGTACAGTTGGGGCCATAGTAATTCTGGTGACAATCAAGTACTCCCTCGTGTGTACAAGTACCATGCGTGACGTTTGGGCAGAATTGGGTGCAGTTCTGTCCATAATAGTTTTCACGGCAAATACGTTTTCCCTCTAGTGAACAAGTACCATGAGTGACATTAGAACAGAATATCGTACAATTGTCACCATAGTAATTTGGATGACAATTTAATGTCCCATTCTCAGAACAGTTACCATGTGTGACGTTTGGACAGAATGTCGTACAATTTGCTCCATAGTATTGATCAGCACAGTCGAGTTGTCCCTCTCTTGAACAGGTACCGTGTGTAACGTTTTGACAGAATATGGTACAGTTGGGGCCATAGTAATTCTGGTGACAATCAAGTACTCCCTCGTGTGTACAAGGACCATGCGTGACGTTTGGGCAGACGTGGGTGCAGTTTTGTCCTTAATCGTTTTCACGGAAAATCTTTTCCCTCTAGTGAACAAGTACCATGAGTGACATTAGAACAGAATATCGTACAATTGTCACCATAGTAATTTGGATGACAATTTAATGTCCCATTCTCAGAACAGTTACCATGTGTGACGTTTGGACAGAATGTCGTACAATTTGCTCCATAGTATTGATCACACAGTCGAGTTGTCCCTCTCTTGAACAGGTACCGTGTGTAACGTTTTGACAGAATATGGTACAGTTGGGGCCATAGTAATTCTCGTGACAATCAAGTACTCCCTCGTGTGTACAAGTACCATGCGTGACGTTTGGGCAGAATTGGGTGCAGTTCTGTCCATAATAGTTTTCACGGCAAATACGTTTTCCCTCTAGTGAACAAGTACCATGAGTGACATTAGAACAGAATATCGTACAATTGTCACCATAGTAATTTGGATGACAATTTAATGTCCCATTCTCAGAACAGTTACCATGTGTGACGTTTGGACAGAATGTCGTACAATTTGCTCCATAGTATTGATCAGCACAGTCGAGTTGTCCCTCTCTTGAACAGGTACCGTGTGTAACGTTTTGACAGAATATGGTACAGTTGGGGCCATAGTAATTCTCGTGACAATCAAGTACTCCCTCGTGTGTACAAGTACCATGCGTGACGTTTGGGCAGAAGTTGGGTGCAGTTCTGTCCATAATAGTTTTCACGGCAAATACGTTTTCCCTCTAGTGAACAAGTACCATGAGTGACATTAGAACAGAATATGGTACAATTGTCACCATAGTAATTTGGATGACAATTTAATGTCCCATTCTCAGAACAGTTACCATGTGTGACGTTTGGACAGAATGTCGTACAATTTGCTCCATAGTATTGATCAGCACAGTCGAGTTGTCCCTCTCTTGAACAGGTACCGTGTGTAACGTTTTGACAGAATATGGTACAGTTGGGGCCATAGTAATTCTCGTGACAATCAAGTACTCCCTCGTGTGTACAAGTACCATGCGTGACGTTTGGGCAGAATTGGGTGCAGTTCTGTCCATAATAGTTTTCACGGCAAATACGTTTTCCCTCTAGTGAACAAGTACCATGAGTGACATTAGAACAGAATATCGTACAATTGTCACCATAGTAATTTGGATGACAATTTAATGTCCCATTCTCAGAACAGTTACCATGTGTGACGTTTGGACAGAATGTCGTACAATTTGCTCCATAATATCTATCCTGGCAATGTAGTTTTCCTTCATTTGAACAGTGACCAGTTGTGACGTTTGGGCAAAATACTATGCAGTTATTTCCATAATAATCGTTATGACAAATTTGATCTCCATATGATGTACAGTATCCATGTGTTATATTTCGACAAAACTTGGTGCAGTTTTCCCTGTAATAATTTTTGAAACAAACCATTTCCCCATATGCATTACATTTACCGGTATTTGAATCAGCACAGTAAGTGTTACAATCATTCCCATAGTAATTTATTTTACACACCACATTACCACATTGATCACAGAGACCGTTGAGAGGAGGAATACATGGCTTGCTGCAATCTCGACCATACCAGTTTTCGTTACACTTTACGTCACCGTTTGCGTCACAAGATCCATTGTGCAGAAGCGGGCACTTACGTGCACAATTTGGTCCAACGTAACTTGAATTACAAACCCGATTCCCCTTGTGATCACATGTGTAAGTATTTTCATGGCACTCAAAATAATATTTGAATTTGCCAATAAATGAACACCTGAAAATTAACAAATTGTGTAATTAAAATCCATTAATTTTCAAATGCGTACAAAACTTGTTTTCATGTTTTCTTTATGATTTAGAAAACACTGAGGATCGTGTGGTTTTCACAAAAGTATTATGATTAAGCTGGTCGTCAAGAGGGTGCGTCCCCATACCAAACCTGATCATACAAAATAATTTGCGTTCCTTTTTGGAAATCAACCAATGAGAGGCGAGGATACAAACAAAATTAAATTATATATGGTTATTGAAATTTATTAAGACCTGTCTTCATTGTTTTTGTATGGCATGGATAGATTTACATAGTATTGCGTCACAGTATCTGTTTATGAGGGTTGTTGAGATAGTTCGTGAACTTCTGTCATATCTTTTTCATTAAACTCATATTTTATCCAAATTTCGTAGAAATACTTTAACAATAAATCCAAATGACTTTTATTAAAATTTTCAAAAGCATCATGATTTATTTCAAACCTATCCGGAATTAAAAACTTCAAAAATGGGATCGCAGAGCAGGTCAAAATTTAGTAATTTATAAATGACACACTTAATAATCATGAAAATGTTTGTATTTCCATTCTCTGTAAAATAGAGCAAAAATGAAAAAAAAAAACCAGGCTTTTAAATTGAGAACAGTTTACATTGATTCATATCCCAAGTTATGGCTTAATATTTTGCTTCGGTGTAAAGAAATCAATTTGAGATGGAGATAGTCCTCATTGAAAACGACAAAAACAATGACGTTGTAGAACGTCACAGCTAGCTCAGTAGATAACGATGCAGTTTTGTGTTATACTCGGGAGAAATCCTGAATAAACTCTTAAAATGTTAAAAGAACAAAAACAAGAGGCCCATGGGCCACATCGCTCACCTGAGAAGCTTTGACCATTCTGTTCTTTACCAGATTTCCCCCTTTAAATACATACTGCGACCTCATCCTACCCCACTGATCATAATTTGGACATTTTGAAATCTACACTACCCAAGGATGCTTCCATGTGCACATAAGTTTTAGCTTTTCTGGCCCAGTGGTTCTTAAGAAGAAGATTTTCAAAGATTTTTCCTACATATTTCTATGTAAAACTTGGATTTCCAATTGTGGCCCCGCCCTACCCCCAGGGGTCATGATTTGAACAATTTAGAATCTACACTACCCCAGGATGCTTCCACATAAGTTTCAGTTTTTCTGGCCCAGTGGTTCTTGAGAAGAAGATTTTCAAAGATTTTTCCTATATATTTCTATGTAAAACTTGGATTTCCCATTGTGGCCCCGCCCTACCCCCGGGGGTCATGATTTGAACAATTTAGAATCTACACTACCCCAGGATGCTTCCACATAAGTTTCAGCTTTTTGTGGTTCTTGTTTTCAAAGATTTTTCCTATATATTTCTATGTAAAACTTGGATTCCCCATTGTGGCCCGCCCTACCCCCGGGGGTCATGAATTGAACAATTTAGAATTTACACTACCCAAGGATGCTTCCACATAAGTTTCAGCTCTAAGGAAGTCAGTAGTTCGAGAAGAAAATTTTTCATATATTTCTATGTAAAACTTGGATTCCCCATTGTGGCCCCGCCCTACCCCCGGTATGATTTGAACAATTTAGAATCTACACTACCCAAGGATGCTTCCACATAAGTTTCAGCTTTTCTGGCCCAGTGGTTCTTGAGAAGAAGATTTTTCCTATATATTTCTATGTAAAACTTGGATTCCCCATTGTAGCCCCGCCCAATCATGATTTGAAAATTTAGAATCTACACTACCCCAGGATGCTTCCAAGAAGTTTCAGCTTTTCTGGCCCAGTGGTTCTTGAGAAGAAGATTTTTTAATGACCCCACCCTATTTTTGTCTTTTCTTGATTATCTCCCCTTGTGAGGAAAACAATTTAAAAAAGGAGGCTTTGTACCAAGTTTGGTCAAAATTGGCCCAGTGGTTCTTGAGAAGAAGTCGAAAATGTGAAAAGTTTACAGACGGACAGACAGACGGACAGACAGACAAACAGACGGGCGGACGGACGACGGACAAAATGTGATCAGAAAAGCTCACTTGAGCCTTCGGCTCAGGTGAGCGAAAAATCTGTCACAAGTAGGTCGTACATATGTATATAAAAGGTACAGGCTGTATTTGAGTGACAGAGACTCTGTATCGGATGAGGACTATCTGTGAAGAAACGGTTAATCTAGTAAAATCTGAACAAAAACTTTAAAAAGTTGGAACGTCATTGACAGACAAAGGCGCTTCAGAGTTGCTGTTCCCGTGAAAGCACAGTTGAGTGGTAAAATAAATTAAAATGTTGACTAATGATATTATACAACGAGAACAACTGTAAAGTGACAGGAAAAGGTTTTTTATGAGTGATTATTGGAATATACTGTGTTAAATATATAGGAATAGTATTTTTGGGAACTTCTTAATGTTATGTTTTTGACGTTACAATGACGTTTAAGTGTTTACAAAACATGTTGATCTTAAAATGAAGTAAATTGATTTCTTTTAAATCGAATGGAAGGAAACTTTACAAATTAACAAGACATTTATTTGTACAAAAGATATTGGACTTATTTTAAATTTTTTGAAAGTAGCAAAACGAAGATTGACATCGCCCACGAATTTTTCAAACAACACCCGCATGTACAATTAAAAAGAATGTTAACATTTTGCCGAACAAAATGTAAGAAATTATTTTACAATTATGTACTATGTATTATGTACAAATACTCTTTTGTTGTTGAATAAGTTTTTTATTCACCAGAAAAATATCAATATTAACCGGTCAATATTGATATTTTCTGGTGAATAACAAACCATATTCAACATGTTGAAAATTATCTTACGATAGGTTTATCGAACATTTTTTCTGCTCAGATACTACAGCTGGATGCAGCTGTTGCAACCATTGTTTACAACGTTGTTTGAGGTATTGATTGTGACGTCACAATGCCTTTGCACGAGCACTGACCATCCGGTGAATACGACTTAAAATCCGGTTAATATGTAGTGTTATGAACTGTTGGGGTTTTTATAGATTATATAGAGACTATAAATAGACTATATAATAAATAACGGACTTTTCCGTTATTACCCGATAATGACACGAATCAAACGTCGGCAGTGATCGGTTGGCAGGGGATGCTCACTACTGCATGGCACCTGATCCCATCTCTGATGTCTAGAGGTCCGTTTTTGCTCTGCTGTATAATTTGTAATGTTTAATGGACTTTTTAGTTTGATTACTGTGCGTTATCTTCATATGTTTCATGCAATTCTTATATGAAAATTGAATTAAATCGCTAATTATTTATAATCATTACTATTTATAAATAAAAAAAAATACAATTTCAAACAATTAAAAAAAACATTTAACATTTTTAGGATGCTGGTTTGTCAACAAATTATCCGACAGATTTATTTTGAATATAAAATATAATTCCTCAAGGCACGTGTATTTTTAAGGAAAAGAAAAAAAAATACAAGTTTTCGCTTCAATTTGTTTTAATCCAACGTCTGTTTTCCCCCCAAGAGCTAAAAAACGTTCCAATTGATTATCCAACCGTTTTTAAACATTATGAAATTCCTCCATTAACACAGTTATCCCTCTATCGCGTAAATATCTTGCCAAAATTCGTAATTTACAACGTGATTGGAGAAAATTAAAAACACAAAGATTTTCTTTCTATTTTTTTTTATGTTGAAGCATCAAAATGAAGTTAACAAAATAATTGTAAGTTAGAATAAATTCTAAAGACTGGTCAATCGGTACAGTCACTTTTCTTACCTTGAAACATAATAGTTTTTCTTGTATATCTTGATGTCTCTTGCCAAATACTGAGGTTGGGAAATATTGAGCATAATGGAATTTCCTAAGAGCTGTTCCGTGTTTGTATACACACTGAAGGTGAGGGTATAAAAATGGTCCTGGAAAGAATATTCTTTATATTAGAATTAACCTCTCCAGTTCCACAGTATATATAAATTGCATTTATAAAGCTTAGTAACTTACTCCGGGATCTTTCAACCTATAAATAAAGGTTTTCGATTCTCTCTTGGTTGATGCATGGAATGTGTGTGTGTTTTGCTGGCAAGTACGGTTTTTGGTTGGACTGTTACATAAAATGTAAATAAGTTATCATATAAATTAGTATCATTTTATATTTACACACCACTGTACTTATTCATACAAAAAAGTAAATCTTCTGTTTCACATGAAGAAATATAGTGTGACTTTCAGATAATAAAAATTATATATTAAAAAGATAATATTTGAACTGTGATTAATAATTTCATTTGCCCTATTCAATTTCCCATAAAGATCCAATTTACGAGTTGCATTTCCTCACATGCATGCTTTTTAATAAATATGATAACTTACGACAGTTTCATCATCATCATTAAATATCGGTCTGTTAATGACCATGAACATCTAAAGTTTTCAATACTGATCCAAATTACCAGGTCTGCACCACCACCCTATAAAAGAACATTTCTAATTGTGATGCCCGATATAATAATTTACTGTGGGATTTTTTTCCAGCAGTAATACAATTTAAATTATTTCGCAAATTTATTTTCTTCATTTCATTCTCAAGTGTGTGCAAGGGGGAGCAACTCTTCTGAGAATCACCGGCCTTTACCAAATTAAGGTCAAACATCTTGATTCCGAGGCCAGGACTCTGGACCCAAGGTACATGTAGGTGAATTATGTGCAATGGATTCCACAATTATGTTTTAAAAAAATGTTGAGTACTGATTGTCACATACTAGCATCTGTGGCTTTTTTTCTTAGACCTCACATCTATACGAGGGTTGTTCAAAAAGTTTTTAAGCAACTCTCATATCTTTTTTATTTGACGTCATACATGTATGTTATCAAAATTTAGTAGAAATAGTTTAACAATAAATCCAAATGATTTGTATTTGTTTTTCACAAAATAATATGATTTATTCAAAATTTATCCAGATTTTAAAAATACAAAAATCGGATCGCGGAGCAGGTCAAAATTTAGTAAATTACAGACAATGCTCTAAATAATGTCTGTAGTCATATTCTCTGTAAAATGGAGCAAACACGAAAAAAAAAAAGAAATTCAAATTAAGAATTGTTACATCGATCCGTGTACCAAATTATGGTTTTATATTTTGCTTTGTTGAAAAGAAATCAACTTGAGAAGATACTTTGTCACATTTTGAAAACGACAAAAACGTGGTTTTGTCGAAATGTACCGAGCAGCGGAAAATGATCAATTTTGTGTTTTATAAAAAATCCTGAATAAACTCTAAAAATGTTGGAGGAATAAATAAAAATATGTCACAAACAAGTTATGCATGTGTGTACAAATAGTAAAGGCAGTATTTGAGCGACAGAGTCTCTGTATCGGATAAGGATGATCTGTGAAAAAACGGTTTAACTGTAAAAATCTTAACAAAACTTTTTTAATTGGAACGTCAAGGAAAGACATACTCGCTTTAGAGTTGCTTATCATGTGAAAGCAGAGTTAAATTATAAAAGAAATTAGGACCTTAACAAAGGAAATTACTAGTATACAACGAGAGCAATTCTTCAAAAAATAAATGTCAAGTATAAGAATAGGATTTAATGAATGGGTATTGTATTATACAGTGTGAAATGTATAGGGATTGTATTTTGTAGAAATTCTCGACGCTACATGTATGTTTTGATATCACACCGCCGTTAAGTATGTATATCAAAATTTAATTTTAAAAAACTGAAGTATATTGATTTCTTTATAATATATTTTGAAACTTCAAACATCAACAGAACAAATATTTTTTACATATTATAATGTGCTTAGTTTAAATTTCTACTGAGTAATATTAACATCGTCCACGAACTTTTCAACAACCCTGTATATATAGATCTATATTGTTTTATATGCCACACATGCATATAACACTTCACGTGACACATATGGCGTGAAAAATTGCTGTAAGCTATTCACAAGCTACTTGATTCATTGAATGTTTCAAAACAAAATTAATAGAAAAGAAAATTTATAAGAATCATATTTATTCACTGCTTCGAAAAAAACAAATGGCAAGATGAGATACAGATTATCAAAGTCATAATTATAATCAGATTCAATAGCTTTTGACATATTCCCTCACAACCTCTCTAATCATTATATTTTAATCCAAACTAATCAAAACTCCTGATAGACCCACATAGGATTTGATGACATATATTTTCCGACTAATTTATTACAAATTTTACAACTGATTACCATCGTTCCAAGAAGGATATGGAGATAACAAATAGTATTCATGATCAAAGTCCATTAAATAATACAAAATAGGAGCAGAGCAAACACTGACCTCCGAAACATCAGAGGTGGGATCAGGTGCCATTGAGGAGTGAGCATCCCCTGCTGACCGGTCACACCCACCGTGTGCTCCTTGTCATGATCGGGAAATAACGGAAAAATCCGTCGTCAATTCAGTGGACTAACAATTAGTATGAAAAACGTCAGTCATTATTTGACTCAGTGATAAATTGTATTTGCAGACAAGGTTATTGTATTGACCATAGAACTTACGAAATCATGACTTTAAAAGAGATTCTTGTTTCATCAACTTGCTTTTCAATAATTTACCTCGTTTTAGAAATTGTTCATACGTAGAGCATGCTCTTGCGTATCGAATCAACTGAGAATCCAACCACATAACCGGTTACAATTTGTAACCGGTTACAAATTAGTTACCAGTTAATTATAACCGGTTACAAATTGCCATTCTAGGTAAATATTTAGTTTCTGTAATGTATGCATAAGTAAGATGATGGATTTCCCTACCTAATAATGTTAAAAAGAATGTATATACTGAATGAATTTCAAAACCCTACATGGAAGTGGTCACAGAATGTCAATTTTTATTGTGTAAATTCTACTGGATTAATATAGTTTTAAAATTGAAGGGTAAGAAACGAATGAGTTTTTGTTGGAATGTTGAAAGTCAAATTAATTATGTTAATAATTATATTTCGTTTGAATCCCCAAATCTAACACTATTATGATTTAATTTTTCACGGTATAGATTTAATAAAATATTTAATATACAAACCTTTGTTTTTGAACAATATCCAGTATTTTGTGTTGGAAGACAAAACTTTTCGCACTTAACACCATAATAATTTTTTACACATTCCATAATTCCAGAACTATTGCAGATACCATATGTCGTATTCAGACATTGCACTGTGCAATTGTTCCCGTAAAATCCAGGTTTGCATTTGACATAACCGTCATTTGTGCAAATATAAGTGTTAGTTTCCAAACAGTTTCTAGAACAGTTATCCCCGTAATACGAAGGATTGCACACCTTCCCACCATTATCATTACAGTGATATTCCGTTGTATTTGCACAATATTGCTCACATTCCCTCCCAAAGTAATTTAAATCACATTTTATAACCCCATTACTGGAACAGTTTCCGTGAGGACTACGACAGAAAGTGGTGCAGTTTTCTCCATAATAGTCCGCCTTACACTGTAGATTGCCTTGTGCATCACAAACTCCATTTGTAACATTAACGCAGTGGGTTGTACAATTATCCCCGTAGTACCGATCCTTGCACACTAATGAACCATACTGGTCACAATATCCTCTTGTAGTGTTTTTGCAATATGCACTGCACCGGGCTCCGTAGTAATTGTCATGGCAGATCACGTGTCCACATTTACACATTCCTTTATTGGAGTCAATTTTTGAACAGTCAGAAATACATCCCAATCCTTTACAGGATTTGCATTGTAAGTTTCCATTGTTGTCACAGTACTCGTATTTTGGATTTGGTGTACAGTGGGTTGTACAGTTCTCCCCGTAGTACCGATCTTTGCACACTAATGACCCATACCGGTCACAATATCCTGTAGTAGTGTTTTTGCAATATGCATTGCACCGGGCTCCGTAATAATTGTCATGGCAGATCACGTGTCCACATTTGCACATTCCTTTACTGGGATCAATTTTTGAACAGTCTGACATGCATCCGAATCCTTGACAGGATTTGCATTGTAAGTTTCCATTGTTATCACAGAACTCGTATTTTGGATTTGGTGTGCAGTTGTGGTAACACTGTATTTGCATATAGCACACTGGTGACCTAAAACGTATTTTTAATTGAACGATGGTTTATTTCATCTCTGACTTAATCAACGTATCTGATCTCATATTCTGAACTCATCTCTGTCATCTTGCTCACACACACACACACATACCCTCCCTCTCAACCCCCCCCCCACACACACACACATTCGACAGCTACAATTAATGAGGGGTGATATAATGTACAATGTAGGCCATAGGAGTTGACTTCGAATATAAACATACATTCCCAAGGCCAAGTAATAAATTTTTATATGTTGTATACTGGTTAATTAATCCTTTTTTTCACTTGGGAATAGAAAGACATATAAGTACATAATTTAAACTAGTCCAAGTACTGTAAATCACTTTTTATTCGCTAGAACTTTATTTTAGCGTGTTGGCGAAAAATTAATTCTCACGTATAATAGTATTCCTTAAGATTATATAGAGCAATAACCACAATTCGTGAAAATTTTGTCTCGTTTATCAAGAGTCAAAGACTATTTCGCTTAAATAAGGTGTCACGAAAGTTAAGTGATCTACAGTGTATTTACATGTATTTTAAAAACAAAATGAACACTCAGAATTTTGACCAAAAGTATAAGCAACAAGAGGCCCAGGGGCCACAGCGCTCACCTGAGCACATCGAGCTTGAATTTACCCCCCCCCCTCCAGGCGTTATCATTTGAACAAACTAGAATGTACACTACCTGAGGATGATTCCATATAAATATCACTAATCATAGTTTAAGTACTTGAAAAGAAGAATTTTAAAAGGTTTCCCTATACATCCCTATGTAAAACTTGGGTCGGCCATTTTGGCCCCACCCTTGCCGCGGGGGTCATGATTTGAACAAACTCGAATCTACACTACCTGAGGATGATTCCACATGAGTTTCATCTTTTCTGGCCCAGTGGTTCTGGAGAAGAAAATTTTTAAAGACTTTTCTTATATATTCCTATGTAAAACTTGGGTCGGCCATTTTGGCCCCACCCTTGCCCCAGGGGTCATGATTTGAACAAACTTGAATCTCCACTACCTGAGGATGATTCCACGTGAGTTTCATCTTTCCTGTCCTAGTGGTTCTGGAGAATAAGAATTTTAAAGATTTTTCTTATATATTCCTATGTAAAACTTGGGTCGGCCATTTTAGCCCCACCCTTGCCCCGGGGGTCATGATTTGAACAAACTTGAATCTACACTACCTGAGGATGATTCCATAGAGTTTCATCTTTCCTGGCCCAGTGGTTCTGGTGGAGAAGATTTTTAAAAGATTTTTCCTATATATTCCTATATAAAACTTGGGTCGGCCATTTTGGCCCCACCCTTGCCCCGGGGGTCATGATTTGAACAAACTTGAATCTACACTACCTGAGGATGATTCCACATGAGTTTCATCTTTCCTGTCCTAGTGGTTCTTGAGAAGAAGATTTTTAAAGATTTTTCTTATATATTCCTATGTAAAATGTGGGTCGGCCATTTTGGCCCCACCCTTGCCCCGGGAGTCATGATTTGAACAAACTTGAATCTACACTACCTGAAGATGCTTCCACATGAGTTTCATATTTCCCGGCCCAGCAGTTCTGGAGAAGAAGATTTTTTAAAAATGCCATTAATTTTTAACAAATTCATAATTATCTCCCCTTGGAAAAAGGCGTGGCCCTTCATTTGAACAAACTTGAATCCCCTTCACCCAAGGATACTTTGTGCCAAGTTTGGTTGAAATTGGCCCAGTGGTTCTTGAGAAGAAGATTAAAATGTGAAAAGTTTACGACGACAACGACAACAACGACAGACGACGGACAAATTTTGATCAGAAAAGCTCACTTGAGCCTTCGGCTCAGGTGAGCTAATAAAAAAGTACTATAATCTTTTTGTTCGGATTTTGTTCGATGTGTTTCTCTTTATATATTAATCGGCAAAGAATACATCTAAACCTCATTAAAATACAAGCTTTTATCAAGAATTTAAACATATAAATAATGTATTATCAATTATGATTATATGAAGACTTACCCTTGCTCACCCTCGAGTTTTACAATGTATTCCGATTGTACCAATGTTGAGTTATCAAAATCGCTGACTACAATTGGTCCCTGAGTTTGGATTGATTGCATGCCTCTTTTAGGAATAATATATTTTACATTCATTTGCATTGACACATAACCTCCACCCTGCAGAAGTGATAGTACATTCATGTACAGGTAATATTAGTCTCAGCCAATGGCTCAAATGAGTCTAATAGATTGTCAGTCGTCTATTGTTCTGTTCTGTTTAACTATGACAAGAGGCCCAGGGGCCACAGCGCTCATCTGAAAACATCGGCTAGGAAAAAGCACATATCAAATCAGAACTGAATGCTTACTGAGGTGGGGGGGGGGGGGGGGGCTTGAATTTCAACCCCCCAGGGGGTCATGATTTGAACAAACTAGAATCTTCACTACCTGAGGATGATTCCATATAAAAATCACTAATCATTGTTTTGAAGTACTTGAAAAGAAGAGAGAGTCATACCAAATTTGGAAAAGATTGATAAATCCTGTTACTGATAATATCATTTCCATTAATCATGTGTGCTCCATCATTCTTATGCCAGAGCAAAGTCTTACTTGTCTCACGTGTACCGTTTTCTCTGTAAAAAACATAACGTAGACGTTTTAAGACAAAAGAACATTTGGTAAAATAAATACATGAAAAACAACAACGAAATTATTAATTTATTTGGATACCTGTATGTAACGTTTAACATTGCATATCTAACGATAGATTCGCCAAATCCACTGCAGTTGATCCACTTAACAGGGATTACGACATCCGATGAAAATGCTTGACCACACAGAATGGTTATGACCTATATTCAAACATCATCAAGTTTAATTATTTTTTAAGTAAGCTACTTTAATCAGTAGATCGAAAAAAAACATGTACGTATATACTTAGTAAACAATATCTGGATATATTCTAAATCCAGAAAATATGTATCTTTTATGTCAACAACGACCAATATCAGATTTGAGTTTTACGAAAATTTCAGACTTAAGTTTCTCTAGAGATTTATTTTTTGTAAGGAGAAAATATGATATTATTCCATTTTTCTAAGGCGGACTCTGTGTTTTCATTTTGATACAGAAATTTTTCATTGAAAAGTCTCGAAGTCGCAAGCCCCCATGTTATTATTGTAAGTAGGAATACCACACAACGTGTACATGTATTTATTACATTTTTACCCGTGAAATACTGTAATTTATTTATTGAATAAAAATGATATCCTGTCACACTGTGAAAGGATATCAAAATGATATCCTGTCACAGTGTGATGAATATAAGAAGTGCGGAAAAAATCTCGATTTCCCTTTCCATAACGAAGATTGCTGAAAAAAAAATCTTCCTTGACCTAAAATAAGATAGATAAAAATAAATAAACCACTCTGACGGTGAATAAAATGGTTAAAATTACCAAAAATATGTTGCTAAATCCATGCTTACAGTGTTTTCACCTCATATAGCTATGACGTCTCAACCGCTCAACTATGACGTCACGAGCCTATGACTGTATAACAAAAAGACAGAGGCAACGGAAAAATCAAAGAATTTTATTTTAAAAATGTAATAAACAGAAAATTCAATGTTTTATAGTTGAATATGGAATTTATTTCACTCGTGAGACAGGATTTTTGATATTTTCACGAGTGCGAAATCCTGTCCCACTCGTGAAATAAATTCCATATTCAACTACAAAACATTGAATATCCTCTATATATGTGATCCATTATTTAGGAAATTGCAATTTTTTAAATTTCAAGAATAAACCTTACAAGAGTGTAAAAGAAGGAAAATATAAAGAAAAAATTCTTAAATTATATATAAGTTTGAACTAAAAGCTACTTTAGGAAAAATAAAGTGATGCGCGATGTCGTTTCGATGAATCGCATTTAAATTTATATAATTATTATTATATAATCATTATTATTAACCAAATTTTTTACTTACACAAATACTGTAAAGGCAAAGGAAAAACAATTGATTATTATCCATTTGGAAATTTCTTCATCTTCAAACATGTGAAAGAAAATTAAAATTGATTAAAACAGATGCATGCAGAATATGAACAATACATGGTTTACTTTAGAGCGATAATATAACAATAGGTGATTATGATGATAACCTACTTAACCACTTTGATAAATCGTTACAATTTTAATGAAGCCATGATGATAACGTTGATATCCAACATAAAAACTTACATGAAATAAGAATTCAAGGCAAATTTATGTCTTTACTATAAATAAAATAATTTAAGTTTTTATAAATGCATATAATTTTGATATTGATAATACTGAGGTAATGCACAAGTGTATTTCACTTTTTCTAGATTATAAGAAATAAAAAGAAATTAAAATAAGCTGGCATTCTTGGCATCATTAATAAGAATATCTGTAAATGAAACAAACTACTTTACGGGCCTCGATAATCTTAATAAAAAATTCAGATCCAGGAAAAAAGACGAAATTATACAAAATCCTATTTTAGGACGAAGAGTAAAGATACAAAGAATATGACATTAAAGCTGAACACTACTCGTAAATAGGCATAGTCCGCCATATTTCCCGTTCTTCAACGCTCTCCCTACAACTCGTATATAAGGAGCAGATGGCTAGTCAGTTCAATGTATTTCACTATAGAGATCCGACGAGTGTAGACGTACATCTTACAAAGCGTGCTACTCAATATCGATGAAATTATCAAATTTTACGCACTTTCTCCGAAACAGGACAAAAGTATCATGAAAAATGCAGGTCAATACATTATTTACAAACAGAAAATGCATATAAAAACAAGAAATAAAAGCAAAAAATCTAACACCACGATAGGAGTACTACATGTCGGCCACGAGTTTCGAGTGTGCAATCGGGTGTAACGAAAGCGAACGGTTTATATACCCGTCTGACGGTGCCTATTTATGAGAAGTGTTCAGCTTTAAGCAAAATTAATCCACCAACTGTCTGTGTAGAAGATGTATTTTTTCAAAGTAGTTCAAATGTTAAGATCAAATACAAAGGTAATATGTTTTTTAAAACAAACATCCAAATGCTAAAAAAGCGTAGACCAACCTCTCAAATATCAAAAATAGATTTTCAAGGATCATGAAGTAAGTAACCTTTAAATATGTAAAAAGGTAATAAAAACCATAACATAAAGGTGCAAAATATCAAATCCACACCTCTTACAGTTCCCAAGAAAAAGATCAGACAGACATAAAATTAAAGTCAAGTTCAATTTATTCTCTCAAACTAATAAATGGTACATGAGGTTCTATGTACCCTTTATATAAAAACAATATTCACATACACATTCAAATTATAAAGAAACCAAAATAATAATGGAGGACAGACTTGTTCATATACGTGTACTCTATGTAGCTGCATACTAGTATAAATAATACCTTGGCATCATCAGTTGGGAACAGTCCCGAGAATTTGCAAAAATTTGGTTTATTACAATATTGGTATCTCTATACTCTTTTCTCATTCTGTAAAAATGATATTCAAAAATAAAGTGATACTCGTCACCTTTTGTCGATTATTACACACATTACATTGATATGAAGACACAGGGAAAAGTGACCCTTAGGTGTTGGTGTGATTCTTCAGTCAATACTATATGGCCAATCACTTGTGGCGGTCAGCCGGGTTCGATCACCGGTGGCCAGATAGCTCAGTTGGTAGAGCACCTGACCGGAGTTTCAGGGGGCCCGGGTTCGAATCCCGGTCTGGTCCGCTGCATTTTCTCCTCTCCCGTTACATTTGGTGCCGTGACCAGGATTTGACAGGTGAAAGACCTGCCAGGGATGAGCCTGGGTTGGGGTCTTTGGAGGGCCAAAGACCTTTAAGGAGGGAGGAATGTGGCGGTCAGCCGGGTTCGATCACCGGTGGCCAGATAGCTCAGTTGGTAGAGCACCTGACCGGAGTTTCAGGGGGCCCGGGTTCGAATCCCGGTCTGGTCCGCTGCATTTTCTCCTCTCCCGTTACACACTTAAATCTTTACATGTACCTAAATTCTGCAATAACAGTGAGTTAGAAAAGTTCACTATTCGACTCGTAATTCACTTCGAATAAGGAACCATAACCTTTGGTGACATAAATTTACTAATCAAATTTACCATTTGTATTTTCTTTTTTTTTCGAAAAAAGAGAAGAAATTGTATCACGTGTGGGAGAAACACAATAAATGTTTCAATATTTCCATTTCTTGTTTTGTTTGCTATGTGATAACTCTTTGAAAGTTAGGTGAGTTGATTTCTTGATAATAAACCGAAATGTAAATTTTGTCAATTAAGAGAATGTACATGAGCTAAGGAGGTCCAATATGCATGTTAATCTCGTGCTTTTATTTTTGTGTTTGACGTCAACTGGAGGAGACCATTTAAATAACCATAATTTAAATCAATTAGACAACATTTTTAAAATCTTAATTTAATTAATCTTAATTAATAGAATAGATACTTCCAATCTTTACAGCTAACATGGCTAAAAATGGCAAAGCGATATTGGTGCAAAGGGCATAAGATAACATCGAGGATTAAGTATTTAGACCTTCATCGTTGATCAGGGGAAAGATTTAAGACTGACCAGTTGACCAATCAGATGTTTTAAGTTAACAAGACCTCAACCCCAAGCCAGGGCATCAACGATAGATGGGAACGTGGGATAATTTGCCTACCAGGCGAAGCTAATTCAACTTTCAAAGAGCCATCACAGAGAAAACAAGTAGAAATGAAGTATTTGTAAAATCAATTCCTTTTGAAATGTAAACAGTCAATTCCACACATTTTTTCGCTTCTCCTACAGGTGCTCAATTATTTGAGAAAAAAGGACACTTACGATAATTTGAAATCGGTTCACAATTCGAATAGTAAATATGATTCTAGCATTTGTAAGTCTTTTTGATCTATTTCCACCTTCACAAAAGTACATATACTCCACCATTTGCTCAGTACGATATTTCTTCTTCACTCAATAACCAGCACTTTAATACCGTTTGAATAGAGACTATGTTCCATCGGTGTTACAATTAACGGATATGAAAATTCTCTCTCTGATTCAATAAATGCTATTTATGTTCATAAATGATTTTATGCCCATTTCTTGTGTATTGAAAGTGGGACAAGCGAGATAACTCTAATACTTTTGAGCAGTCTTGTTTTTTGCAACAGCGTCAGTATCAGATTGAGTACAATCAGAGGCAGCGCCATATTTGTATGGAAATACAAGTTTATTTTTGAACAGGCAAGTTGGCTTACAGCGTGTCCAGTGCACAATTAATACATTTAATGGACTTCTGGTGGTGTGATCTTTTGGATTTCCAAGGAATTCAGCACATTTGTAAGTGTTAAAAGACGAGACTTGAAATTCGGTCCTGGCACACGTGGAAGGCCTACGTGCGTTCAGATTTTCCATCATTCGTGACCTTTGTTGTCCCAACGATTTTTGTTTTGTACTGCGTTCTTCCTTCATCAAGATGTCTATATTAATATTTGACTCACACATTCGACGCTTATATCATTATGCGAGGAAATAGAGACAACATGCTAACAATTATATTTAATGTACAAAATGTAGCGATTTCGGTCATTGGGATTAGTGGGGACAGAATAGGCCGTAGTATGCATGGTATGGACATTAGAGTGCTAGAAGAGGAGATTCAAAGAGAAGCTAATTTTACATATTTCGGGAAACGATATCGATCAGCCGCAGGCTGATGAGGACTCGGTAAGGGAAATTGTGTCAAAAATAATGGCGACATGTGTGATGTGACTTGTTTTTAAACCGGTATCATTTAAATACACTATAGATAATTATATGTGTGTCAGTTGTTACCAAGATATTCCACCAGACATTGCCAAGTTGTTTTATATAATAAGTAAATAGTCTTTGCAAATCAACTTTTAAAAGAAGACGTTAAAAACAGAAGGCAGGTTGTGTACTGGAAGTTAAAGGGCTTGAGGAACTCTGTAGTGAATAACTTATGTGACGGTGTACACATGAACCATATTGGCAATGTAAATATTACAGGGCAATCAGGGGTGCTGTGATACATAGTACAAGCGATAGCTAGATAAATATTTTGTATGTCATTTAGCCATATAACAATTATGGTTAATTTGCAATTTAAATTCAGAAACAGGCAATACATGTATATATAGCTTATTATGCATATATGACACAATGTTTTACTTTCAGCAGATTTTTATTTAATCACATATTAGATGCATTGTAGAGAGCCAGTCCAAGAGTTGGAAATACAGCAAGGGACCCTTGTGATCAAGCATTTATTTTTACTTAGAACAGTAAGTCTGGAAACTTTTTCTTCTGCAGGAGTTGCAGAAGAGCCTGTGATAATTTGCCACATGTTCAAGTATGAGTGGTAATTTTGCACATTACTGAACAATTAGTGGTATTTCAATGTACTACTGATTCTTGATAATTTTATCAAGTTACAAATGCGATAATTCTATCGCTATGCTTTACAATAAGTGACAATTTTATCACGCCTTGATCAGTGCCGAATCTTGATAATTCTATCAAGTTATAAATGCGATAATTCTCTCGCAGTTAGTGATAATTTTATCACGTCTTCATTAGTGCTGAATCTTGTTAATTTTATCAAGTTACAAATGCGATAATTCTATTGCTATGCTTTACAATAAGTGATAATTTTATCACGTCTTGATCAGTGCTGAATCTTGATAATTATCAAGTTATAAATGCGATAATTCTATCGCAGTTAGTGATAATTTTATCACGTCTTCAATAGTACTGAATCTTGATAATTCTATCAAGTCATAAATGCGTTAATTCTATCGCAGTTAGTGATAATTTTATCACATCTTGATCAGTGCTGAATCTTGATAATTCTATCAAGTTATAAATGCGATAATTCTATCGCAGTTAGTGATAATTTTATCACGTCTTGATCAGTGCTGAATCTTGATAATTCTATCAAGTTATAAATGCGATAATTCTATCGCAATGCTTCACCAGGGATAGTGAATTAATTAGTGATATTGCAATGGTTTCTTGATACATTGTGTAGCTCTATTTCACTAGTGCACTTTAATTATACAGATTGTTTAAAAGTAATTCCACCCTCTTATGATGTCATAGGTTTTTGCAAAAACTGTAATTAATTTAAATTCATACCTAAATAGAACAATATCTCTTGGAACAATGCTTTACAATAAGTGTAATGATAAATATTGTAAAGTTAAAGAATTTTAAAAAATGCATATTTTCTAAATTTAAACAATTATACCTTTTTTTTTTTTTTTTTTTTTTTTTTTTAAATTGTTAACAAGGGCAAGAACTCCTTCTAGGGTCTCTTCATTCTGGCATTTGCTATATTGTAAAATAGTTTATCTGATATTCACAATTCAAAAGTATCTTTTAAGTAGGAAGTATTTAGCAACACTCAGCATCAGAATTATGCATTTTAGCCAGTTTTACTTATTTTTCATAATACTGTTTGTAAGAAATGTGCAATTTTTGTTATGTTGACATACACTTCTGTGTATTTATGTTTTGCATCTTAAATAATATGGTGACCTATATATTTTCTGCAGGAATTAGAAAGTTTAAAGTATATTTAATGAAAATAAATGCAGTTTTTATACTTTGAACCTATAAAATTGTGAGGATGGAATCGCCTTAAGATATAAACAATAATTTGTATAAAGAACTACCCTAGAGTCAGGTCTAATGGGTAATTTTATCCTATTGCCTGATATGGGCTAATATTTAGATTAGTAAATCAACAATATTTTTGCAACATTTATCAAAAGCTGATAATTTTATCAGTCATAGATAGGTTGAATTCTTGACATGATTTGTATAAATTAGGCATACATGCTAACATCCTTTTACAGAGATGAGTACCGGTAATAGGCCTACAGACTATGGGGGTGGTTACAAAGCCAGTTAATTTACAACAAGAGGAAGTCACAAGTGACACTCCAACAAGCAACAATCATTCAAGCCAATTAGAAGATGGCAATTTTACCAAGTAATTCAGGTTCTAATTAACAAACAGCATCTAAGGAGTTATCACCTAACGTAGGGGTTAAGAATCCCAGTATCATTGGGCCATTGGGTCTCTGTGAGATTCTAAGATAAAAAAGCAAAATCTGGGGAAATGAATTAGTTTAATTTGGAAATTTGTTAGGAATCAAAAATAAGAATAATTATAAAGTCTTTGAAATCAGAGAAAACTTAGAAGGGGAGTGTGAAATCAAGCCCAAAAAGCAAACAATAAATTCAGAAATCCATAGTGAGGCATCGGCTATCAGTTTGGGTAAATCCAAAGTAAGTCTAAATTCTGGGTTTCTGGTATTTATAATAAATTAAAATCTGTTCAATATCAGGAGGTAGAAGATGCAGTAGGTTTAATAGGCATATATGGGAAAGATTGTGGGTTGTTTAAATTGGATATTCAGAATGCATATAAAATCATTCCAATACATTGTTCAGATTGGGAATTTTTGGGTTTTACTTTAGACATAGAATACTATTTTTACAAAACTCTCCCTATGTGACTTAGTTTTTCTTGTCAGTTATTTGAAGAATTCGGTACTGCAGTACATTGGGTTTGTGAAAACAAGTTAGGCTTACATGGGAGACTAGTTCATGTTTTTGTTCAAGGATATTGGTATTCCAATTAACGAGTTAAAAACTGTCCTTCCATACACTTCGCTTATATTTTTGGGTATCGAGTTGGATTCTATTTTGATGGAGTCATGTTTACCACAAGACAAGTTAACTAAAGCTAGACACCTTCACAAATTCACAAGTCTAAAAAATCTATAATATTACTAGAGTTACAGTCTGTAATACATGTAGGTGTGTTAAACTTCGCCTGTTCAGTTCAACCTTTTCATCATAGGAAATTGAATAAGGAAGCTCTAGCGGATTTAAATGCTTGGGGTTTGTTTTTAGAGCATTTCAATGGCAAGTCACTGTTTTTGTCAGAGCAATGGGACAATTCTGACTCATTACAGTTGTATATGGATGCAAGTACATTGTAACATTGGTTTCAGTGGTTATTTACGAAATCAGTATTTTAGTGGTATATGGCCTAAAACCTGGAAAATCTATCATATTACAATAAAAGGAGTTATTTCCCAGTGTACTTGCAGTTCAACTTTGGGCAGATCAGTTAGAAAATCGATGTATTATCATTAATTTTTTTTTTAAATCAGGAATTAGCATCATCAACTCATAATACTTATCAAAGGGCAATTGAATATTATTATTGTTTGGTGTCATCATTTTGCTTTGCCAACTAAAGGTGTACCAGCAAAAGCAGAAGCTTAAGATATCATTTTGTTTATAGCTTATTGTTACTGGCAACCTATGTTTCAGCATTAAGTATTCAACATAAGATAAGGAATATGAAAGGCCCAACTTTTAGTGAAAAAATGATTACAAGGTTACAAGAAAAAGACAAGCTTAGTGGACCTTAGGTTACCTATAACACCAATCATTCTTAAACAGCTGATAGCTTCTTTACAATGTACTACAAGTTTATATTTTGTACAGGTACTTATGTGTATTTAGTGGCATTTTCACTGTAAATTTACATTTTCAAAAGACAGAAATTGTCATTTATGGACAGTACAATCTGTACATTTTTTAAGAAAATACTTCAGACTGCCCAATAGGGTTGGAGTTGACTATGAAAACTTTCCACATGGTAAAGGTCAATCTTACACTTTGCATGTGAAAAATGACAGCAAAGATAACACAATATGTCCTGTTCAGGCCCTATGGACATATTTTCAATTATAAAAACCAACTTCTGGTCCTCTTTTTACTTTCATAGATGGGTCACCGGTGTCACGGAAATATTGTACAGATCAGTTATATTTGTCATTAAATTTGTGTGGGGTAGATTGTAAATGATATAAAGGTCACAGCTTTAGAATCAGAGCAGCCACAACGGCTTTTTCCTATGGAGTTCTAGAGCAAAAAATTAAAGCAATGGGGCGGTGGTCATCAGACGCTTTCAAAAAGTACATTCGAATCCCCTTTGTAAACCTTTGACTGCTCACGATGTGAGGTTGAGGTAATGAGTTATGACCGTGGTGACAAGAGCATCTGGTCAGATTGTAATTCATGACATTTCAAATCTACTCTGAGTTGAGTTCCTATAAAGTAGTGAGTAATTTGTTAACTTGTTTGGTTGATTGCAATCAAGTGTTTTAATTACTGGTGTCACAAAATTATACCTGATCATGGTGACAAGAGCATCTGGTCAGATTGTAATTCATGACATTTCAAATCTACTCTGAGTTGAGTTCCTATAAAATAGTGAGTAATTTGTTAACTTGTTTGGTTGATTGCAATCAAGTGTTTTAATTACTGGTGTCACAAAATTATACCTGATCATGGTGACAAGAGCATCTGGTCAGATTGTAATTCATGACATTTCAAATCTACTCTGAGTTGAGTTCCTATAAAATAGTGAGTAATTTGTTAACTTGTTTGGTTGATTGCAATCAAGTGTTTTAATTACTGGTGTCACAAAAATCCTGATCATGGTGACAAGAGCATCTGGTCAGATTGTAATTCATGACATTTCAAATCTACTCTGAGTTGAGTTCCTATAAACTAGTGAGTAATTTGTTAACTTGTTTGGTTGATTGCAATCAAGTGTTTTAATTACTGGTGTCACAAAATGATACCCGATCATGGTGACAAGAGCATCTGGTCAGATTATAATTCATGACATTTAAAATCTGTTTTGAGTTGAGTTCCTATATTAAACTAGTGAGTAATTTATTTGGTTGATGTCTATCAAGTGTGTTTATTACTGGTGTCACAAATTATACCCAATCATGGTGACAAGAGCATCTGATTGTAAAATAAATATCAGACCAGTAATAGAGAATATGAGGGTTTGGACAATTGTCAAAATATGTGAACAAGTTTGACACATTATTTGTTTCAGGAAAGAGGACATTGGCTTAGAAAAAACATTTTCAACCATGATGACAGGAGCATCTGGTTGTATCAAGAAGTAGTAAAGTTTTGATGTAATTATGTATCTAACAAAGTTTGTGTACAATGCATAATAATATTGTATTGTTTTACAAGATTGAAATAGTTTCTTTGTATGTTGGTAATGTGTTATTTTTCATTTTTTGTATCCAGTTTGTATGAATTTTAGGGATACTTCTATTGTAGTAAGATTAAGACTCGCACTTAGGGTTGGGTGGGGATTACTGCTGATGACAGTTCAGATCTGCCTGTCATTGGCAGTAAGTGGCATTTTTACCTTACCCCACCTTTGATGTAAAAATTTTATACAGTAATGTTTTGATCTTTTTGGAAGTTGCATGTAGTGATATTGGTATCACTGCAAGGTTTATAAATGTAAATCTATCAAACTACATTTTCATTTTTGTAATAGTTTTACAAAATTGTCATTTGGTAATAAATGACCTTTTTCAACTTTAAACGGTGTTGTGTTTGAATCAGATAGTGTAATATTACATCAAACAGAGCAACCTCTAGTGCGAGTATCAGGAAGATGGGCATAAATGCTATTTATGTTCATAAATGATTTTATGCCCATTTCTTGTGTATTGAAAGTGGGACAAGCGAGATAACTCTAATACTTTTGAGCAGTCTTGTTTTTTGCAACAGCGTCAGTATCAGATTGAGTACAATCAGAGGCAGCGCCATATTTGTATGGAAATACAAGTTTATTTTTGAACAGCCCTCCCACCTCTCCCTAATAGTTAAATATTTATAGTGTTCTTAATTGATGTGAATAATTTGACAATAATTTTCCATATTTCTTTTTTCAGTAGGTAAGGCATTTTTACCTTACCCCACCTTTGATGTAAAAATTTTATACAGTAATGTTTTGATCTTTTTGGAAGTTGCATGTAGTGATATTGGTATCACTGCAAGGTTTATAAATGTAAATCTATCAAACTACATTTCATTTTTGTAATAGTTTTACAAAATTGTCATTTGGTAATAAATGACCTTTTTCAACTTTAAACGGTGTTGTGTTTGAATCAGATAGTGTAATATTACATCAAACAGAGCAACCTCTAGTGCGAGTATCAGGAAGATGGGCATAAATGACTTTAATTAAATTCAACTAATCAATTAATTAGATTTAACTTATTATTGACTAATTCCAGAAATTCCAAATACTGCTCCTTTATGTAAAGAGCCTTTAACTGAAAAAAATCTTACTCAAAGAGATTTTTGAAATTCCGAACATGACAAACATAAAATTGCAACATTTTTGCCAAAAGGTTATATTTCGTTGAACATAAGATTCTTTATCAAGGTTTATGAGGAAAACATGTCGATTTTTTCTTTATTCTGTAAAGCTCGAGGCTTCAAGTGATTTTATATTTATGGACTTCAGTTCCGTTGTTAAATCACTCTTCATTCCAATATTTGTAGTGAATCAGCAATGAGGACAGTGAGGGCACTTTTTATTTACGCCTGGTTTTCTATGATTGATCAAATAAATGGACAATATTTTCGGGAATTGTATTATAATAAAGTAGAAACATGTGGAGAAAACAATATTCTTGGATTATCATCTAAAGTAAATGAATTACACTTAAATACTGGTCTTTCAGAAACAACGGTGCGCTGTGCGTTGCGATGCTTTGAGGAAACAAGATGTGATGGGATTAATTTGTGTAAGAATGAATCAGGAACGTTTTGCCAATATGTGGAAATTCTGAATTCAGTATCATGTGGAGATTTTCTGGATGTCGTCAATTGCAGATTTATACAAAAGGTAATAACAATAGCTGTCCGAATAGATAACAATGAATTATTGTTAAAATAAGTTAGATTTATACTAACAGTGAATAAGAGGTGGAAAAATAGTACTTTAAAAAATATCTACCAGGGAAATGTAAATACGTGAAATATATAATATTTAATAATATAGAGTGTATCAAAGTCCACGTACAATATTTCAATTTGACTGTAAAAAAGTCTTTTTCACACAGTTTTCAAATTTAATGTTATACTTAGCTTGGTGGTATGCCTTTATTGAATAACAACTCCCCCGTGACACTGGAAATGACATCACTATCAATGACATCACATCCTGTTACATTGGAGATGACATCAATGTTGGGGACATCCCAATCTGTTACCCTGGAGACGATGTCACTGCCAATGACAACAACTTTGTACGACCCTCATTATCCATGGAATGGAGGTAAATAAGAAACCTCTTCCCTCTCTCCTTCACTCTCTGAAACACACAAAACGGTCTATAACCCCCACCCCTGATTTCATTAAATTATTTCTTGTATTTTCAGACTGTTCCAATGTTTTGGGTGGTGGTCCGCCAACGAGTAATGTGTATACAATTATTCCATCGGGAGCACCGGCGCCAATTTCAGTCTATTGTGACGTGAAGCCGGAAGGAGTATTTACGCGCATCATGGAGCATGGCGGGAACTGTGGAATTGACGACTGGAACCTTCCTATGACGGATTACATCAGTGGATTTGGGCAGGATGTATCGTGCGATCATTGGATAGGACTGCAAAATATGTTCTATCTTACAAACACGGGCAGTAACTACAAACTGGAAATCAACATAAGGCTTGAAAATGGGAACAATGATTCGATACATTATGGATTTTTTTTGGTCAAAGATACATTGGAATGGACATTGCGACTTGATTCATTCAGCGGAAGTACCAATAATTACCTTGGCAACGGTTTTGATAACCTGCCGACTGCAAGCAGTGCGGATTTGATTGATAATGAAGATTTTGAAGCAAATGGAGTGAATGTTTACGGATGTTCAGGAGGGGATAAATCCGGGTGGTGGTTTTCTCCCAATTGTTTGAATACAAACCTTTGCTTACCTTTAGGACATATCGAAAAAACACTTTATCCTACAACGAGACAAATATTATGGCCAGATTTATCAGGGAATGATCAGGTAGTAAAATATGTAACAATGCAAATTAGAAAAACTAATTAAAATCATGAAGTTAGTTTTGACACCTTTAAATTAAAGGTAAAGATGTTTGGCTTCATGTTTTATACAAAATTAATCATTAATACATTGTTCATGTATATTTGTCCCCTGCTTTTGCGAAAGCGAGGGTACATTACAACTTCTCATTCGTCTGTCAATCTTTCAGTCTTTAAAGCTTAAACCTTGGTCATATCTTTTAAATGTGAAAAGATATGACTTTCCTATTAAGTATATGTATAACTTATGACAAAATCTTTCTAAATACCATAAATGAATTTGGAAATCAACATAAGGCGAAAGGGAACAATGTCCTCAATTTGAATTTGCTTGACTTAATGATTGAAAGTGTACCAGCTATCGTAGCAAGTTAAGTTCACTTGTCATATTCTATTTTATTCCTTTAAAACCAGGAAATATAAATTAATTATTATTCAATTTCTTTAAAAAAAAAAAGGGGAGGGGGGTTCAAGGAAAATTTTTAGATATAGCGGAGCTCTCAAATTCATTGTTTTGAATGAAAATGATACACATCGTAATTGTTGATTTTTCTCTTAAAAAAGGAGGACCTGAAATTTTTCCCATTGCTACTCTATCGTCACAGTTGGTGAATAAGGACAAGTAACAAGTAATTATTCATGATTTATAAATACATGTACACCAGTCTTGGGGCAAATTACATTGTAAAGTAATGTATTGCATTACCGTTATTTCAAGAACTTTGGCACTGAATCACCATTTCGTATATTTCTTAATACAATGCGTTAAATAACCATTACTTTAGTAAAGTAATGTATTACCAAAACCATTACTTTATTACTCTTAAGGTTTTCAAAAATCGAAATACCAAACATTGCAACTACTTTATAACCAAGCATCTCATCCTCTTCAGAACTAAATATATTGAATGATGTTTCAAATATGGCTTCAAGTAATTTATTTATTACACTGTATTTGACTTACATATCGATCTATCAATTATGAGAGGTCGAAACGTTTTATGATTGTCAATGAGATAAAAAAAAAATATACAATTAGCACTTATCATTACTGCGTAACTATTCATGTCATAAAACAGTTTAGCTTTGGGGACACAAAATAAATATTGAAAAATAATTCAAGTATATAATAATAATTCTAATTACAATAGAAATATTGATAGATTATTTGGATCTTATACCACATAAAAATATAAAATACATTGACAAACTTATTAAAAGGGTGGGACAGCACATTTACATTTTGCTCTGATAAAAGTAGAATGCCTGATTTTTTTTCAAAATTCCTTTTTGATACAATCAATTTTCGATGGCCAGCTCAAGCTAGACCACCTCAATTAACGGTTATGTAAACACAGTTAGAAGAAAGGGACTTGTTTTTGGAACACTGCTCTCTCTGAACAAAACACAATCGAATTAATTGTTAGATAACCCCATTAGAAGAATTGTTTGTTTTGATGAAATCTTTTCAAATTATGACAATTATCAGGTAACAGTTTGTATTAACCTCTCATACCGGAGTCTTTTTAAAAAGATTTTTTAAAAGCTTTTAAATTTTCTTTGAAATGGAATTTTATTTAGAATAAGTATGAAAAATTCAATGTGAATTTCAAAAGAATTAAAAAGTGTAGTTATATAGATTGACGCAGAGTGTTTCTATAAAAATGTTTAATAACTTTTTGTGTTCACTTTAATCTTTTGAAAAAATATTCAATGAAAACAATAATTTTAACCTCCTTTTATAATTTTTAAGAATTGCTTTATAAAGATAGTGTTTTGTAATGTAAGCATTACTCTGGGTTTGAGAAAGTAAATTCAATGCATTGTATTACATGTACCATTACATGCAATGCATTTTATTTTTGGAATTTCATATCATTAGCAATACCTCCTGTTCAATTAATGCATTGCAATACATTACCATTACATTGTATATCACCATAACCTTGAAGCAGGCACGTAGGAAGCAATTTCAGTTTGGAGCGAACAGCCATATACTTTGAGTTGGTGGGACAATCACCAAAAACAAAAAACATCAGACGTATAACTGAGGAGGCACAAGCATATACATGTAGTAGCAATGTTTTCTTTGCTATTATTACCACATGTTTTCTATAGTTTTCTGTATATTTTCTAAATTATACCAATAGATCAGCGAAATTATTAATTCAGCCCCCGCCCTCTGGTTCCTATATACGGCTATGTGATGTACACTAGATATATTTGGGGTTGAAAAACTAAGGATTTGCAGTTAATTAATTCAAACATTAGAAATGGTGTTCATCGTAATTTGAATCAGGGATAAGGGATGCTGCAGTGACAAATAATAATGCTAGATTTTATGCATGTTTATAAACCTGTTTTGCCATGTTTTTACGTTCTAAAACTGTTTCTTTTTTATTAGCTTACTAGCTCTTAGTCATTGATAAACTTGTTACTTTGAATCGATTTTGTCAAGTGAATGAAAGCATACCTTGACTT